CATATTCAATTCGTCATTTTACCTTCATATTTGTATTCATCAATTTCTCCTATCTTTAAATGTTTAAAGAAGTGAATGAAGCTATTTTTTTTTTTTAGTATCCAGAAACCATGAGTTGTAAACCCTTTGGCTCGGTACTTTGGATATCACAACCCTTCGGCCTTGATTCCATGATAGATACCGTATATTTCTGAGCTAGCGAGCCGGGCAAGCCAGGTCTATAAACATTTGCTGTAAACTGGGCGTCTTTTAATTGTTTATCAAAATACTTCTTCAAAACTTTTAATGGCAGCTTTGTTGCTGTTTTTTAACCTATAGTTTATAATGATGTGCCGACTCCACAATAAAGGTTGGCTACAGTGTGCCATTGTTGTATTTGGGAAAATTTACATGGTCAAGCCTTGATCTCTTCCACAGTGTGACTCTTATGTTATTGGCTGAAAGCTACGAGAACGGTCTTTTCCCCCCTCAAACACCACCCATTGCAATAATCGAACCCTAGTACTCAAATGTCATGAAACTGCATTCATCCCCCCCCCCCCCCCCCCCCCCCAAGCCACAGGGCCACATTGTTTAGTTTAAAACTTTTCAATGTACACATAAATGTTGACTCAGCTGTCACTGTTTTTTTTTTTTCCAGGATGGACCGGAGACACAATGCCAGAAACAACATGAAGTATGACAGTGAAGATAGCCAAGATGTTGACACATCGTCTACGTATAGTGAAAACAGTCATCGAGATGAGCAAAGATTCACACAACACAAAGTAAGACACTCTCCATCAGACAGATATAAAAGCCACATATCTACTTCACCGCCAGAACATAATAGGAGAAAAGCAAGTCCACGAGATAGACGTGAACGTCACAAATCTCAGTCCCCAGATAAAGATAACAGAAGAAGAACAAGCCCACGGGACAGATATGACCGCCGGAGGTCTAATTCACCAGATGAACATAACAGAAGAATAACTAGCCCACTGGACATTTATGACCGCCGGAGGTCTAATTCACCAGATGAACCTAACAGAAGAATAACAAGCCCACGGGACAGATATGACCGCCGGAGGTATAATTCACCAGATGAACCTAACAGAAGAATAACAAGCCCACGGGACAGATATGACCGCCGGAGGTATAATTCACCAGATGAACCTAACAGAAGAATAACAAGCCCACGGGACAGATATGACCGCCGGAGGTCTAATTCACCAGATGAATATAACAGAAGGAGATCAAGTCCACGAGATAGACATCATCGTCGAAGATCTAATTCTCCAGATGAATACGACAAACGAAGATCAGATAGATATGATCCTGAACAAAGTCATCGGCCTGACAGAGGCAACCACTTCAAATCTACTTCACCAGACAAACTCATGCATACTGAGAATTTGTCTTCAGAATTTAATCCAAGAACACATGTCTCCAGTGAAATGGAAGATGAATCGAGTCCTTCCCACAAACTGAATGGGAAAGTCCATCCAACACAAGATGAACACTTGCCTTCCCGTCACCATAACACAAGGTTGCAACCAACAGACATGGACACGCACACTCCAGACAACAGATTTACAAGAAGTACATCAGCCGACAAATATGAAAATCCTTGGGACAGTCCTCACAGAACATTTGATCATCTACTTAATTATGCACCCGGTGATCAACATATCGCTCCAGTCAATAACAGAGACGAAGATTGTAGGACTAACACTAATGTAAGCCACGATCTTCGTGTGCAAGTCCACAATAATAACCATCTAGGCAAATTGAAACTCAAAGGTGGAAATGTCAAAGTTGACCTGGAGTCAGGAGTCCCTCTGTCCAAAAATCAGCAGCCTGGCAATAAGTCAAAGGTTAGTTTTTGTCATTGATAATCCATATTTATTGCATTATTTAATACTGTGAATCATTTTCCATCTTTTTGATTTGTTTATTTTATTTATTTGTTGGTTTCTTTATGTTGTATAAATGTGTGCATGTTCTTGTTGCCACTTTTACTCTCCATGCTTTTGTCTATTTTCAGTCTAACAAGCATCAGAGCACAGATAGGTAAAGTCAATTCGTCTCAGATACCGGCATTATAGCAACTAGGTTGTGACATAATGATGCATGACCGCTAATTTCTTGCCGCCTGCTTCCCGAACAATACATTGTTGACTCTAAAAATTCTTCTTCTTCTTCTTTCGTTCGCAAGAAATAAATTGTCTATATCTGCAAAGCTGTCTCTAGTATGAATTTCACACTCTAAAAATTATATGGTACTTATTTATTCACGCTGGATCGACTGCAGTCCCATATTGGCTGGGATAACCAATCCCGTCTCCTCCCGAGCTTGAAGCTTGATCATTATTTTATTTAAATGTATTAAGCTCAGAGAATCACGTGTATGGTGATAGCGATGCTTTACTGTTGCATACACATAAACCAGATTTGTTAAATGGTATCCTCGTGAGACCCCAGTCCTGGAAGAAGACCAAAGTCAAGAAGTCAGTGAACAACCATGACTTTCCAATAAAGTTTACAGCCACGAAATGCCAAGAAGAAATAAGAATACTGTCCATTTTAGAGTGGTTGTTTTTTTCCCCCTGGCTTCAAGTGTAACACTATGTAAAATGTTAAAGATATTATTTCGTTTCTATGAAAAGTATGAAGAGAAGAATGCACACATCTAAATATAGTAAAACTGATCTAGAAATTTTACAAGTCAATAATTATCAGTGGCATTGTTTTTCTTATATGCATTAAATTTTAAATTGGATTCCGATGCTTTGATTGTAGAGTTTCTTCATCATGTCTTTAAACAGTGTAATTATTAGTTAGTAAATTTTACCCCACTTGGACATCACACAAGCCAAAACACCCGACGATACAAAGTGCCACCACGCGGATGAGGATCACCCGTGGAGAAGTCCCAGAAACCTCGATCAGCCATTAGACCATATTTATAGATCCCTTTACACGCTCCAGGCGCGTCGGGTATATGGGAAGAGCATCCCATGTTTTTACAGACCAATCGGCACTGGATGGGTAATATGGTCAGCATTACGCCGGCCGTCTTTACTTCCCCAGGACAGCCATCCTGGGTCAACCTGCGACGCCAGGCCATATTTTTGGCCTGGCAATATTCCGGCCCCTGGCAAGAGCCAGAGAGGGGCTTTAAAATAACGAAAAATTGCATCCTACAAGGGAATGACTAGTTACGACAATTTCCCCCCAAAAAAATCCCATTACAAAGTACTGTAGGGGATTCGTTATTATCTCTGTTATTCGAAAAGGATTTTAGACCTATCATCATTATCATCGCCCTTCGTTTCCAATTAACGTGCCTGTTTGTTGACTCCACCCGCTTCTTCTCGGCATGGGCCAGTTTATCACTATCTTCTTGGTGTTTGTAACTGTCGACTCCAACTATAGTTCCAGACATTTCTCTTATTCTCTGCCTTTCTTGAATTAACCCCATTTAATGTTCTCCCCAGATATTTGTATTTAAATGCATTACCCTTTCGTCCCATGTGTTGTGGCTCTACGCTTTTCTTTGGCTATTGTTAAAATTCAAATACCATTATGTTTTAAAACTAATTAATTTAGCTTCATATTTTTTTAACTCATTAGAGCTCTCTGGCCATGCCAATTCTTGTCATTATTAAATATCTTCTTTCTCGTTTTCACCGGCTGTAAACTCCAACGTAAAGCCTTGGTTGTTCATCCACTTTAAGACTTTGGTCTTGTTCCAAGATGTCAGTTTTGCGTGCACATCCGTTTTACATATTTCGTTTATTTGGGTGCAGACCATTGATCCCTCGCCTCTCCAGCAGATTCACTTCGTCTTCGAAGGAAATGTCGGTCCTGTCACGACAGACTCTATTTATAAATAGCTCCAGAAGGACGTGGTCCTGTCTATGGTGGCCATCGAATTCCCCCGAATGGGAAGCTTTTTTTTAGGTCAAGGTCATCTCCTATAGAAGGCCTTGGTTAGGCTGACCGCCACCAGATGTTGATAAATCTTGTACATATGAGCTTTGATCCTAATGCACTATGACGGATTCCCCGTATGGGTTCCGCAGCCCCATTGTTGGAGAAACAAGAATAGACCCACTGCCTTTCCCAAAAGCATGACGTAAGAGTCGACTAAATGAGAGCTTCCTTCGAGTCGGAGTACATCTGCCTGAAAGGCAAGGAATCAACAATCTGCATGCAAATGAGTCAGACCTGTGAAACGGATGTGCACGCAACACCCAGTTTCTGGAACGGGACCAGAGTCCTGCAGTGGACGAACAACCAGAAATTTACGCTGGAGTTAAAAGCCAGTGAACGCGAAAAAGAAGAAGGCTATCATGTTGGTTCAGCACGTCTGCATCCCAGATCTATAGCAAAATATTTGATTCGTTTTAAACTGTAATAATCTCAGTTATTGTTGTAACAAGTAAGAAACATCCTTATTACGTATGAGGAATTTGACGTTTTTTCATTTCCTGGCTTGCCAGATTCACAGCAAAATATTTTATCTTACTTGTAGCAACATGCGGATGTGAGTAGTGGACTATTTCCCAGTCCTTAAGAAAGAGAATAGGGGCTTTTGAGGTGAAATGCTATAGAGAGATTCTCAGAATATCTTGGACTTAGAAGAGAAGAAATATTGACATCCTAAAGGATCCGAACATTGATGAAGATTGGCTAATAAACAGCATCCTGAAAAAATAAAAGCATAAATAATGGTACCAGGAAGGAGGGGCAGGGGCCGAGCAACAATAAGATGGGCATAGGATATAAGTGACTCCTTGAGTATGAAAGTGCATGAGGCGGAAGAGCTGGAGAGAGACCGAGTATCTTTAGGCAGACCGTGATGTGAACGACGTTCTGCAAAGGACCTGCTACATAATGATGATGATGAATATGTAATAATCTCAATTAGTATTATATCAAGTAACAACACCCTTGTTACGTATGTGAGGAATTTGACTTTATTTTACAACAATTGTCATTTCCTGGCTCCCCAGACAAAAAGTACAGATGAAGAGTTTTCCATCAAGAAATCAGATGAAGACAAACTTGTTTATGGTCAGGATGAAAATGAAGAAAGGGGAAACTGGTCTGGGAAGTTCGATTTCATTCTGTCCATGATAGGCTATGCTGTAGGGTTAGGAAATATATGGAGGTAAGTTATGCTATATTATGTTATGCTATCACAATCGACGATATTGCACTTTGAATATTCCCATTTGTGCTCAGTCCTCAGATCCAGCAGCAGCCCCTCCAAGATATCTCTACTGGTGAAAGCTGTGAGAGGATTGACTTCATTCTGCTTCCACCTTTCTAACCCCCAATGGAGCAAAGGCCCTCAACCAACTTACGCCAAGACATTTAATCCTTCGCTATCGCATGCAGCTCTCCCCATGTCCTCCCCTCCTATTAGCTTTACTCTCTAGCTCCCTTCTCGGGGGTTATTTCTGTTTCGGTGCCCCTGTTTTTCACAGTGCAAAGACATTCTAGATATAACGTTCTCAGGTTTTCTCAGCGCCTGATCTATCCAACGCCAGTGTCTTTTCTTCACCTCTTGGTCCACTGGATAATTTGCTTAGTTCTCTTCCAAAGCTCTACATTAGTGATTTCACCAAGCCATGTAATTCCCTCTGTTTTGCGCAGGCACCAGTTAATGAATGATCGTAGTTTATTGGTAATTGCCATGTTGTTCTCCATGTTTTCGCTTCGTACAACAGTACTGATTTAACATTAAAATTAAAAATTATACGTTTACTATTATTAGCTTTAACATCTTTTGACCTCCACAAATACGCTCATGCTATTAAAGCTCCTCTTGCTTTTTGTATACGTATTTTAATATCTCTCTCAGTTCGTCGCGGCGTCCGTGGCTAAGGCGTTGCGAGTCCGACTCGTAATCCAGCGTACCGCGATCGAAACCCACTGCTGGCTGCGTGGATTTTTATCATGGTATGGGGCGTCGCAGGTCGACCCAGCCTAAAATAAGTACCAGGATGGGCTGTTCTGGGAAAGTAAAGACAGCCGGCGTAATGCTGACCACATTACCCACAGATGGTCTGTAAAAATATGGGCGCTCTTCCCATATGCCTGATACGCCTAAAGGCGTGGAAAGGGATCTTTACTTTACTACTTAACTCAGTTCCTCCATCTTTATCCACATTACTGCCCAAATGGGCGTACTACTCCACGTCTTGGAGTGGGACATAATTAAGAGAAACCACATTACTGTTTGCCTGATTTATACTCATTGTCTGAGTCATATCCTTACCGATTTTCAGACCCAGCTGTTGTGATCCCCAGACTCCATAATGCTGGGTTTTATCCCATAGGGCTAGGTTTTTCTCCGCATAACAGCTAGCCGTCTGCCATAAGTAACTCCGTAGCTTCAGCGACGATCCTCTGCGCTTATTAACCCGCCACCGTCACAGGGCAAACCAGACGATTTGGCCATTCGGTTATGTGCTGGTATAAAAATGTCCCCTATCTCAGATGGAAATCTCAAACACTAAACTACTTCAAGTCACAGACCAAGAAACTCTAGACAATATGATAACCAAGAGAAGATGGAAATGGCTTGGCCACATTATGAGAATGAATCCTGATTTACCTGCCAAAACAGTTCCCACATGGATACCAGAGGGAAAGAAAAAGAAGGGGCGCCCAAAAACAACATGGAGACGAATGATGGAGAGTGACCTGAATGTGGCATCTCTGACATGGAAAACTGCACTGAAGATTTCACAGGGCAGGAAAACATGGAGAGTCCTCTCTGAAGCCTCATGTGCCACTAGGCATAAAGGAAACTGATGATGATGATGATCTCAGATGGAAGACAACATCGGCGTGCTTCACTGTGCTGTATTTCCAGGTCGTTAAATCGTGTTATTAGTGCCAGAGATTTGCTATATCACCAGAAAGCTCAGTCCGTACAGAGTTCATGCCATCCCCTTTGTTTATTCTTCTTCCCGCACGCGTGGATGCATTTCCCTAAAGTTGACCCTGTCTTTCATTATCTTTTAACGTGCATGTCCAGGTAGGTTTCTTTAGATGATGAAAGTTAGGTGAGATTTATGAATATGTTCTACCCCTTCAGAGCGTGTACTACCTGTTGTGGCCTTCTGAAGCATGTTCATGGAGTGCAGTTGATTTCTGCGTGTGTCACTGTCTGTTTGTGCTGCCCATTCCTATCTTGCATCAGTATGTGAGCGTTTAAATGTGTATGTTTTACAATATGTGTTCCTAATGTTGTTTGTCTGTGGCTGATTCTGATTGTGTGTCATTTAAAATTTGATCCAGTGGTACGATGATTTTGATGAAGTAGCTGACGAATAGGATTTCCAGTTTGCCTAGCAAAGCGCCTCGCTGATCGTCATCTTTTCTATTCGTACAGCGTGAAAACAGAATGTACATCAGACGCACTGAGCAAAGGCATGTTATGTTATCACAATCTACGTTACCTGCACAATAAGCAGTCTCGTGCGTTCTCAGTCCTCCTGTGTAGCAGCTACTCCATGATATCTCTAATGATTGCTCCAATGAGAAGTTGACTATAGTCTTCTTCTTTTTCTTCGCGTTTACTGGCGAACTCTTGCAGAAAGTTCTAGTTATTCGTCCACCTCTGTGCTTTAGTCTTGTATCAGAACCTGAAAGTTGCTTGTACATCCCTTAAACGGGTATGAATTATTTGTATGCAGACTCCTGTTTCCTTGCCCTTCAGGCAGATGCACTCCGACTTTAAAGAGAGCTCCCAGTTAATCGACACCTACGACATGATTTTGGGTAGACAGTGGCTCTATTCTTGTTTTCCATACAATAGAGCCCCGGGACCCATACGGGGAGCAGATTATAGTGTCTCCTACATAGACCTCCAACGCTGCATAGACATGCTTCGTCATGCTTTACTCCCATGTCACGCAAAACCACATTTCAGCAGATGAAGGTTGGAAGTCACCAAGACGTGATTTATTCCTAGAATGATAAAAGAAAACAAGCAATAATTTAATGAAATGCTTGTATTACAGGTACGCGTAAATACTGAGGGTAGCATAATTATTGTAAGCATACAAATTAGACATAATGCTTATCGCAGGATATTTCTAGAAAGGTACCTCTGGTGATATATAAATGTTTTTATGTACCTATTTATTCTCAGATTCCCATATCTCTGTTATCGAAATGGAGGTGGCGCCTTTTTATTTCCATTTTTGATCATGATGACCACAATCGGACTTCCGGTCTTCTACCTGGAGGCGGCTCTGGGCCAGTTCTCCAGTTGTGGGGCCATGACATGCTGGCAGTTTGCTCCCCTGTTTAAAGGTAATCTAGGCATCATGAGTACCTAACTGTTGAAAGGTAATCTAGGCATCATAAGTACCTAACTCGTGAAAGGTAATCTAGGCATCATAAGTACCTAACTCTTGAAAAGTAATCTAGGCATCATAAGTACCTAACTGTTGAAAGGTAATCTAGGCATCAAAAGTACCTAACTGTTGAAAGATAATCTTGTCATCATTAGTACCTAACTGTTGAAAGGTAATTTAGGCATCATAAGTACCTAACTGTTAAAAGGTCATCTAGGCATCATAAGTACCTAACTGTTGAATGGTAATCTGGCTGTCACAGGTGCCTGTTTGTTTAAAAATAATCTAGTTATCACAAATGCTCATTTGTTTGAAGGTAATCAATCTAGCTATCACTTTGTACCAGTTTGATCCATTTTGTAAAGGTGATCTAGCAATCACAAGTGCCTTTTTGTTTCAAAATAATCTAGCTATCGTAAATTGTTTGAAGGTAATCTAGTTATCTCTTTGTGCTAGTTTGATTTTTTCTGTAAAGGTAATCTAGCTATCACTTAGTGCTAGTTTTATCCATTCTGTAAAGGTAATCTAGCTATCACTTAGTGTTCGTTTGATCCATTCTGTAAAGGTAATCTAGCTATCACTTAGTGTTCGTTTGATCCATTCTGTAAAGGTAATATAGCTATCACATGAGCTGCATTGTTTAAAAGAAATCTAGCTGTCACATAAAAACAGAATGCCTCACTGTTTACATTTAAGCTACGCATATTTTAGCAGTGGTATCCATAGTTTAGAGGTATTCTTACCAAGACATTTAGGTAGTTTGCTCTATACTTTAAATGTAGTCTCACCAAAATTTGCAGTTCCGTAATCTTACTCTTTCTGTTGTTGTTTTTAGTTGTTTTGCATTTACAATCAATCAAGTAGGTGGCACAGCCTCCGCAATAAAGATTAGCTGCAATTGGGACTGTATTTAGCATGTATGGCGCCCCTATGGAGTCATTTATTTTACTCCCCCTCTTGGAATATTACCATTTTCTAATACCTGTTGATTTTGACAACAGCGTGAGCGTGAGCGTCGTACCATTCAGAAATTAGTGGGAACAAACAACTGAAACAGTAGAGAAACAAGATTATTATGGTCTGAGAGAATAAGGCAAATGGGTGTAATCAGAGGGTCTCGCTGGCTCACTACCCTCAGAGGAAATGCAAGACAGACATATAACCAGATTGCGACCGGTACCATCAGTATTGGAACTCTGCGCTGGCTGCTGAAGATGAGGACGGAGCACGCATGGGAATGACCCGAGGGCTGTGATGCCAATTATTGATTCAACTCAACTCAGCTGTAAGACTACAAAAGCCTATTAATTGTTTCAGTATTTATGTGTAATACAATGCTGCCCTATGTAATCACAACGAAATTAATCAATCTACTTTTGTTTCAGTGGTGTCATTTACCTTCTCCAGGCCCACAAACACGCCTACACCCCGGCCACACACACACACACAAAATACTTCTCGAAGCAGGCATTTTTCATCCAGTCTCAAGATCATTAACATTTAATCAAAATTACGGTGTGATTGTATAAACACACACCCGTGGTTATAAATATGTTGTTGTTCCGGGTTCTATTTTATTTGTTTGCTTGTGAATGGAGAGGTTGTGGGTGGCGATAGGTGCAAGGTGACCCGTAAAATGGATATTTATACACTATTATTATTTATGTCTTGAAGTCTCCATTTTCCATAATTGTATTATATACACAAAAGAAGTTTCATTCATATTAGTTTCACCGGCGTCTCTCATTACACCTCCTTCGGGATATATTCTTCAGATTTAGGATCTTGTCTTGTCATAATATTATGAATTATGTTGTCTGTCTGTCCATTTGTGAGTGGATGACGATTACTTTTCAAATGATTATACCTGAATAATTCTCACCCCGATATTCATGCTGGTGTTATAACTTTTTTTTAAATCATCATGTGGCTTGCCGACTGGCGTGGGCGATCGTGCCTCTCCACAATCCGCGATCTCCTGCAGCATGTATCAGTTCGTGTGCCGACACGCCTCCATGCCATGCAACAAGACTGTCAAGAATCTTTTCTCGTTGTCTTCCTCCATTCCTCCTTCCACAGATCATTCCAGTGGTCACAGTATGTTCCACTTTCCCTCTTCTCTTTACATGGCCGAAAAATGATAACTGTCTTCTTCTGATATCTGTAATAAGTTGTCTTTTTTTTAATCATAGTTATATCGCCAAAATGATTTCCGACTAGACTGCAGTTTTGATGGTGTGACTGCTTTGGGATTTGATGTGCGTCTACAGGTGTCTGTGGCTTAGGCGTTGCGGACGCGCTTGTTCTTCGCAGCGAAGGGTGCCGGGTTCGATCACAGCTGCAGGCAATTTTGCAGCAGATCGTCTAATGGTGCTTTTTATGTTGCGGGGGTGTCGCGCTTGTAGGCCGGCTACTAGCACGTAGCATTTTACTATTTGTTGTCACGGCCGGCGATATTGCGTTTTGTATATTCCAAGATGTGAGCGCTTTTAACGGTCTCAAAACCTGCAGAACTGGCCCTAACCCCAACCCCCCTGCGTCCCACGAGAGAGTGCAGCTTATGTCCCCTGGTAGATTTCAGCCTAGGTCGCACGACTGTATGCAGCGTATATTATAGGCTGCATGCAGTCGTGTGACGTAGGCTGCACTGTGTCCGGGAACGTATGCTGCAATTTCTCGTGGGACGTAGAAGGGTTGAGGTTACGGTCAACTCTGCATGTTTTGGAACCATATCGCCGGCCGGTGGCAAAGCGCGACACCCTAGCAACAAAAGACCAGCCCTGTGACACGGTGATTCATGAATGGCAAGGAAAGTCACTCTTTTTCTGGGGCAACTTACGTAAATAGGACCCCATATTATATGAAAGGTGATACAATTTAAATTGATCATGTGGGTAACAAATCTAACACGTTGTTGTCGTCTGTGTGTGTGTTTCAGAAATAGGCCTAAAGGTAGCACAAACTAACTTCCTTATCCTTCTTCGCCTCCTTTTTCTTCTTATTATTATTATTTTTCTTCTTCTCACCCTCCTTATTCTTATTCTTCTTTTGCTGCTGCTTAAATTGTTGATTGTTATGCTCTGAAATTCGTGTTAACGACGCTTACAGTATTTAGCTATTGGATGAACTGTGAACTAATAATGTGCATATGCAGTGATAGTTTCAAATGCATTTATTTTCGAATGTTTGTTTTCCTGCCAGGTTTAGGCATTGCTATGGTTGCAGTTTCTGGGATCACGTCCCTTTATTACAACATGATCATTGGATGGTCATTGCACTATATGTTCTCATCTTTTACAAGAGACTTACCTTTTGCTAGCTGCAGTAATAAATGGAATACTCCAGGTTCGTTCTTTTCCTGATTTTCGTGGTAATTTGTTTAATGACCTGATGTTTTATTATTACTAGTAATTTTAGTCATTGTGTCTCAATGCATATCCCTTCCCTCCCCCCCCCCATGATTTTTTCTAGGTCTCTTTCTCCCACTCACTTTCTCTCTCTCCCTCTCTCTCTCTTTCACCCTCTCCCTCTCTATCTCTCTCTCTATGTGTGTGTGTGTGTCACTCTCTATCTGTCTCTCTCTCTTGCTCTCTTACTTACACAGACATGTACGGTCACTAATGGTCTGGCTGCCAGCACGTATGGGTTCCTGGCCCCATTGTGGGGAGGGGAAGAATAGACTTATTGCATCCCTTAATGAGTATGTGGTAAGAGTCAACTAATTAGGGGTGTTTAGTTTGGAGTCGGATTGTGTCTGTCTCAGAGCAAATGAACCAATAGTCTGCCTACAAATAAGCCACATCTGGAAAACAGGTGTGTACACACAACTCAGGTTCTAAAACAAGATTTAGGTCTAGAAGTGGATGAACAACCAGAATTTTCCAACGCAGTTCACGGCTGGTGGATGTGAAGAAGATGAAGTCCATAAAAAATGAACTATTTGATTGTTAATCTCAGACTGAGTGATTACTCTATAGCAGGTACTGCAATGGGAAAATATTGTATAAGATGTTCATGTATACCAGGGCATACTCACTGAAATAAGAGGACCAGTTTCTTTCATCGACAGCCGGCATTCCAAAACGATTTCTAGACCATTCTAAAATTGTGGGATCTGCAGTAGAATAGTGGCTAGAGGCTCATCTGCTGGCGGAAGGTCTTAAGTTTGAATCCGCACCACGTAAATCTGGGCAGTTTAGGCCAATGACCTTCCCTCCTTGGTCGACACAGCCTAAAATGGGTTCCTGGGAAGCAGACCACACCACATCACCCATGGAATGCTTACTGGTCTATAACAAATGTCAGTCTAGCGTCGCTGGCATGATACCCCACCGGTGTAAACAGGGTGTTTCACTATTTAATTTCTTAATTTTATATGGTTCTTTGTGAGGAGACACATAATCTTCTAAAACTATCAGACAAAGAGAATGTTTCTTGCATTGTTACAATTCTAGTATTTGATTCTATCAAGACAAAATATAAAACCGAAAGAAAAGTATATCGGCAAGTTTCACAATTTAACAAACACAAACGTGAATGTTGCGGCTATGGAGCCTTCAGTCAGTAGTATTTGATTCTGACGATCGTGTTTTGAAGGTAACATTTTGCATCTCAACATTAGGTGATGTTGATGAAACAATTGATATTATAGACAGTGTAAAATAATGTATAGGTTCAATTGCATCTTGTAATGTAATTTATAACCATTATCTTCGCCCACAATATTTCATATTACTCTTTTATCCATGTACAAATTAACATTATTGCAATAACATGCTATTACATTTATTAATCTTGTGCTTTTTGTTTATTTGATTTATTCTGTTTTTCCCATGAAGGAATACCTTTTATAAATATCAGTCCTCTTAGCTACACATTTAAAAGTAAGTTATTATAATTATGTTACTACATAGAAATGATGTAATTTTTTCAGGTAAATTTAACTCTTTGACAGCTGTGTAAGAAAACTGTAAAATACTAAACCTGGCCATAACAGAAAACTTCATAAATATTTAAAACATTAAATGTGATTTTACACTACCAGACTGCAAGCTCAAACTGCCAACGATGACCTGTGAAGGAAGTGCTAAAGCAGATGATGGCCGGTGTTTAGACGAGAACAGCAAAGAAGTGGGTTTGTGGAACAAGACACTGTTTACTGAAGCCACCGGTCGCATTTTGCAATCTCCATCTCAGGAATATTGGGAGAGGTAGATATCAATATATCAGAGATGAATTAATCATTGTTAAACACTGGTCAGACTCAAGCAGACAGGTACCATTACTCTGAGAGCTTTTGCTTTGATAGCCAAACTCAACTATAAAATATAGCACATATTGCAACTGACTTATAAACCAAAAATAATGTATTTGCAACAGTTTTCCTCTTGAATAAGTCTTCACCAGTAATATTAATAACACGATAACAAGACTGTAGTTAATAAGCATTATCATTATCAACATCACCATCCAGCTGCGCCATTAAATTTCACATAGGGCTGGCAACATTTGCCTCCATTCCATTGTGTCCTGTTAATCCTTGTGTGTGTGTGTATCTGTGTGTGTGACTGCGTGTGTGTGTGTGTCTATGTATATGTCTTTGAGTGTGTATGTGTGTCTGTGTGTGTGTCTCTGTGTATGTGACTATGGGTATCTGTGTGTATGTCTGTGTGTGTGTGTCTGTGTGTATATGTGTGTGGGTGTATATTATGTGTGTGTGTAAGTAAGTGAGTGGGTTTGCATGTGTATGTGGGTGTGTGTGCATGCGAGATTGTACACATGCATTTTACTTGATATTCCTATAATATGCATATTATTATATGAACACAACATGCTTTATTGATAAAATACAACTGCTGTGCGAAAGATAGGTGTTTTGAGGGGCCGAATGTAAGACAGGCCTGCGTGCCCAATTTGTGACCCTTTGAAATAAAAAATGTTTGTTTGTTCATTAAATTCAAAATCATTATACATTACAATATTTGAAAAAAGTTATTGTGATACTTCAGTGGTTTTTTTCCACAATAAATATCACACAATAATTGTGAAACAGGGTATCATAAAAAGTATGAATTGGTAGAGTTTATGATGCTAATGATATGGAAGAATGGAAAGTGAAATTTAAATAAGATGCAAAAAGGCTGTGTGCTTATGTACCTAGTGGCACTGTTATTAATAATCCTAATAGAACTATAGAGTGACAGATAATATGTAGTATATCCATATCAATACAATGATACCAGTGTTAAACTTAGATACTTTCAACAATTTGCATAAATAAAGTGAAATTTTGTGAGATGAGATGCTTCAGGAAAGATGCCAGTCTAACAATCAGAGTTGAGTGGGAAATGTTACTGTTAGACAGATAAGATTGTGGAAATGACACTTTATGTCAAATACACCATGAAGCAGAGGCTGGGATGGTTTGAGCATCTAGTTAGCTGCGTCAAGAACCATCACAGGTGCAACATCTAAGAATAGTTGATATAATAACAAGAGGGGGTCAAAGATGACGTTGTATTGTATATTCACACTAAATTACAATAGCCAATGTTTCCATGAAAGTGCTAGATTGACAACTATTTCTTCCAACCATGTTTGATGGCAAAAGTTAAATATCATGATAATGAGGATAATGAAAAAAAATATATAGTGCATCTATAGTATTACTGCACTTGATATGATTGCAGAAAACATGTTATTATATGTTGTTATAAGTTGTGAAAGTCATGAACTGTTTCCAATTTTCAGATTTGTTCTCCAGTTCAGCAGTGGAATTGACCAGTATGGCTTTCCAAAATGGGATCTAGTCCTCTGCCTTCTGCTAGCCTGGGTCATCTGTTTCCTTTGTTTGATCAAAGGCATCAAAACAACTGGAAAAGTATGTACTGACTTAAGCATGAAGCTCTCCTACCTCAGAGATAAATATCAATATGCTAAAGCAAAATAACGGAGGAGACAAATACTCTCAATCCAACAGCTTTGAAAAAATGAGAACAAAATTAATGTTTAAAATACTTCTTGTATTGGATATTATTGGATCATGTTAATTGTTAATGTATTACAGATTATTTGTTATTACACTGAATTTTGCAATGTTTTCAGAATATGTTAGTTCTCAGCCCAGCTCCTCTGCTAAAATCATGTCATTAGTGTTTTGGTTTTCCCATGCATATATGCTTAGACTTATTTTGTTTTGGCAGTAATGTTACAGGAATGATTATTCTTAGCATACACATTTTTCTCAACATCCGGCTCAACAAAGTTCATCCTCATTTTCTCTTGCCTGGAATTTTGCTCTAAAGATTTGTCAGTATTAGACATCTTGTCTTTATTACAACCTAATGTGATACTGAATAGCTACCTAGTTTGTCCAGTATCATTACAAATATTTTTATTTAATTGTTGATGTCTGATAATACAATGTAAGAGTTTATTCTAGCCCACATTTACCAGGTCTTATTCCATATGATGTTCTTTAGTTTAAGCAATTATTTTTGCTTCCCCATTATTTTCTACAAAAGTCTAACTCATTCGGAATTTTATTTTATATTATTTTTCATTCTACATTGTAAAATACATTGTAGCTCTTTAAAAATATGTTCTCTTATATTATGAGCAATTTTAGGTGTATTGTTTTGATTAAAAGGTTTTATTTGCAATACAATAAAAGCCAAATAATAGTAATAATTACAGTTGGGATTCCTCAAGTGGAGACTTACTTTGATATTCCATACCAGTTATGTCTTGTGGGAGTCGCTGTGGCATAGCGGCTAGACGTGCGTATCGGAAGGTTGTGGGTTCGCTCCCTGATGGAGCCAGACTCTTTTCAAAAATGACCTTGACTCCCAGGTCGACCTAGGCTTGAGTGGGTACCAGGTGCAGTTCCAGGAAGTAAAGGCGGCCAGCGTGGTGCTGACCAACATCATCCATCTTGTGCCGATTGGTCTATAAAAATATAGGTCTAGCCCTATATGCCCTATACACCTAAAGACGTTGAAAGGAGACCTTTACATTACTTAGTTATGTCTTGTGACGATTATTTAACATTTTTATTTTCTGACACAGGTGGTCTACTTCACTGCTCTGTTTCCTTATGTGGTGCTGTTCATCCTCTTGATTCGGGGAGTGACTCTGGAGAATGCTAGCATTGGTATCAAGTATTTCATCACACCCAACTTCAACAGGCTTGCTGATGCTAGTGTAAGGTCACACCAGTAAATGTTGGACTTATCCCTATTAAAATAACTAGAAGATAACAAATTTACAGATACAGATGGACACTCATTGGAGAAAAAGAGTTACCTAGACATTCATGACATTCAGACACACACAAATTAAATGTTATAACAATGCTAAAATTTGAATTTCACAAGAGGTTGATGCTGAAAGACTTGTGCATCTAAGCACTAAATCAGTTAAACATATTAGTATAATGTATAAATAAACACTAAATACAGTATAAAGTGTGACTTGAAAAACTCAACAGATAATACAAAAGAGCTTTTAAACAGACACGGTCAACATGGAACCAGAAGTATGAATAATATATAGTGCAGTGTTATGTAGTATTGTATAGTATAGTAAAGTTTAGTTTAGTGTAGTGCAGTATAGTAAAGTGTAGTGTAACTGACTCGGTTATCAGTTTGAACAATGTTATTAAATACAATTTCCCTCCAGCTATTTTTGTTAACATGACGAATCTCACAAATTTCTATTAACCCAATATAGGCAGATAAAAATAACCATGCTGAATACTTATGATAGATTAAATAGAATATCAACAGGTATAAAAATAACATAAGTAAAATTCACAATTTGGTGATTTATCTCTTTTTTTTTTATTTTTTTTTTAAGAACTTATTATTGTTAGTCATTGATAATGATCTGCTATGATGATTTGTGTGTGTGTGTGCAAAACCAGGTCATTGATTAATGATTACTGATAATCTATACAATCAATCTTCTTCTTTCTTGCTCATCATAAGAAGGATGTTGCACTATGACTGTTTGTAATTAAACTATCTTCTTTTGCCTTTTTTTTTTTTTGATCCTTCTGTCAAAAGAGTTCAGGAGTCCAGTAGTCTTGATGAAAGTTTTCATGCAGTCCATATCTCACTGTGTGCCATACAGTTTTGTTTTTATTGAGATTGGAGCAGACCAGATGGCATCTCTGTTAGCAGCACTGTGATATTTGTGCCTTTTGATCGAAACATCCAGTTTGAGCTCTGCATATTTTGGGCATGAGTAGCCATCCCTAAACTTTATACATGCTACAAATATTCTTCTATGGGTGGGTTTTTCATTTTGAAATGTTGTCAGGGCAACGGTAAGTTATAGTCTGCTCAGTATGTTTTTGACCTGCAGTGATCTTCAGTATGTGTAAGTTCATATCTTCAGCGGCAGCAATACATTCAGCATCAAGTATTTAAGTTTTTGATTGGTCATTACACTTTTTTAATCATTTCATTCTAAAGTTTTCAGTCTCGTGCTATAATCCTCAATGCCATGTAAATATGCATTTATAGATGTTTTGAAAATGTTCATACTTAATCTACCTCTTTCTCTTTTCTCCAGTTTGTACCCGTCAACATTTACTTTGATGCTATTCATGTTTTATGGTGTCACAAAACCATGATAGTCTTTTGTCTTTTTTTTTTTTTTTTTTTCTGAACTATTTGTCCACCATGTAGTGTACCCTGTTTTTCTCTCTGTTTTTCTTTTGTTGTGACTCATGCTACTGTTGTCCACCAAGAGATCAGTTGTTTATTTAACTATCTGTAGTGAGGACTGAACCCTAGTACTTGAGGATCATGACATCATTAAACACATTCACCAACCTCTAAGCCATGTAGCCACACCATAATTATATATGCAGTGATTATGTACCTTTTGTTTTTCTGACATTTCTGTATCACCCAGATAGATATACTGAGAATATATTGTAAGCTTGAAATGTTTATATGAATTCAGGTATGGAAGGATGCGGCTAACCAAGTATTTTTCTCCATGTCCATTGCTGGCGGTGGGCTGATCACGTTGTCTAGTTACAACAGATTCCATAACAACATTCTCAGGTAAATGTGCAAGGCTAGTTAGTTAGTTTGTTAGTGTTTCCTTTTGAGCCTAGGGCGGCACAGAGACACAGCTCTCTGTCTGGTAGTTCATTGCCAACTGTTGTAGCTCTTAGATGTTTATTAGGCCCAATGTTTGAGCTTTCTCTGATGATGGTTCTGCGCATGGTCTCTTTTGGTCTTTCCCATTTTTTTTTTTTTTTTTTTAAATTTTTTTTTTAATATGTTCATATGAGGGTGTGATGGGGGAGTCTTGTCTTGTATACAGATAAACTAATACATACATGAGATATGTTATAAGTTAAGAATACATTCTAATTCATCTAGAAGACTTATCATACAACAACAATTTTCAATATCTTTGACTTAAGGCCCTTGTCACTCAGGGCTTTTTCCTGGCCAGAATTTATTTCTGGTGTCCACACATTTGTCAGATATTCTATCAGCCAGACAGAGATATGATTTCTATTGGAGATATGACAGTTAAGTGATTCTGTGTATTCTTGCTTGTAATTGTGGTATTGTAGATTTATGTAATGCTTGTATATCATTCAACCCCACCAGGACTGTACAACGAGCGACCAACACCCAGTGACACAAAGCGCTACCATTTGAATAAGGATAACCTGGGCACAAATTCCAGAAACCCCCTTCAACCATTACGTTATTTTAGGGCCCCAGACAAAAGCCAAGGTGGGGCTTCAAATAATGAAAAATTGTGTTCCATATTGGGACGTGTATGAGAACGATAAATTTATGGAATGTGCTGATGAAGGCTCTTTATTGGAGTACTACGTCCACATGTGGGATGCAGTTTTTTGATAATTGAAGCCTCATCCTGACTTTTGCCAGGAACCATAAATATAGCCGGGTCATTGCGGCTGAACAGTGTTTATGGGACCTCTCCACAGGTGATCCTCATCCGCATGATGACACTTTGTGTCACCGGGTGTTTATCGCTTTGTGTGATGTCCTGGTGGGATACAGTTTACATGCATGCATACATGAAGGCTGTCTAGCTTCAGCGTTTATTTGTCATTTGTGTTTGTGATATTTTGAACCTGACTGGTTAAAATTTCTTTTGAGAGGCTTGGTATTTTTTCACATCTTATGTTAACAGGCTTTACATTTTGTGGTCTGTGCTACAGTATCTTACATTTGTATTATACTGAGTACATTATTTAATAGACAGGTTATAGTTTCTAGAATATAATTATTTATCTTGTCACATCTGAGGAGAGTAACTCTATTTGTAATTTACCCAAAATAACTTATTTCCCTTTGACTTGATTCTTGCTTAGAGGCAGCATCAGTGCAACTAGTGCTTCACTGTGGAACTTATGCCACTCTAACATCAGTCATAAATTTGTTTACAGTTTGACATCATGGCATAGAGGATTGTGTGTCAGAATTGATTGAAAGTACACAAGACAGAAGGTTGTGGATAGACCTTACTACCAACGCCACACAGCATGCACTTTAAGAAGAAGAAGAATATGCCAGAGCAATTAGAGACATTTCTTAAAACCAACAAACAGAACCCCGAGAAGGAAACAAACAAGTTTATTGAAAACTCTATAAACATGTGGCCGTAACATATACAAGTGTTTACAATTAAATACTGATATGTTTCTTCCATACAGAGATTCCATCATTGTTGCAGTGGGTGACTCTGGTACTTGCATTTTGGGTGGTTTTGTCATTTTCTCTTACCTGGGCTACATGGCAGGTCAGCTGCAGGTGGATATTGAAGATGTTGCTGCTGATGGTCAGTTCCTATTGAGTTTCTTTGTTTGTTGAACTTGTCTAAAGTACATATGCACATGTGTACTCGCAGACCAATGATAAACACACATTAAACTTTCTCTCTCTCTCTCTCTCTCTCTGTCTCTCTTTCTCTTTCTCTATCTTTCTCTCATCTTTTTTCAAGGATCAGTTTTGAAAGTGATGTACATTTTGGCAGTTGCAATTCAACAATTTAGAATTTTCATCAAAACCATACTTGCACCTTCCAAGCATGATTTCAACTCCAATATTTCTACTTGAATCCAAATTCTACTAACATTCCCAAATGGTATCAACAATTCCAGAAAAAAAGATGCCTTTGTAAGTATGGTAATGGATGTGAAACAAAGAAAGAAGAAGCCTGGAGGTTGCAAAGATGTGGTTTCTAAGGTACATGCTATGAATACCTTGGACAGCCAGAGCACTAACAAGTGCCCGGAAGAGGCTGATACAGTAAAACTATTTTATGCACAAGCACAAGAAAGACAGTGTACTTTGGTAGTGTGATGAGGAAAGAGACATTAACGAACACTATGATGACATGAAGGATGAACTGTAGAAAGATAAGTGATGCTGGATGGTCTAACATGGTGGCTTGAATGAATAATATCAACATAAATGTTAGATAAGACCAAAGTCTGTGGAGAGACAGTGTTTCTGCCATCTGATAAAGCACACGAGGTTGCTCACAACTGATCAGCTGGTGCCCATAAACATAATTCTCATCATGACATTTCATTCATATGAAAGCATTAACTCTGGTCACCAAATACCATCCCACACAAGTATGTATGTTGTAATATAGCAATTGTGAATATAATAAGTGTGCGAAAGTCACAGCATAGTTCTAGGTCACGGCAGGCTCTTCATTCTGAGAGTTTAAGTTGGAGAGGTTTAATGGTGAACAGGGGATGATCTGACTGTTTTTCATTATCAGAGCAATAATTCTTGTTTATGACAACTATGTGGCAGCAATTACTTCCATATATATGTTCTGCAGATTAGTTACAAACTCTGTACAGAGTTAAAAAAAACTCAGTGTGTGAATACTAACAATATCCAGAACTGACAAACAGTAAACTCTTATACAAGTATCAGTAAATTCATTGTTTACTCATTCAGATGATATCTATTGTTTTCTATTTAACAGGAGCAGGGCTTGCTTTTGTTGTCTACCCTGAAGCAGTTTCTAATCTACCTCCTCCAACACTGTGGGCAATATTGTTCTTCATTATGTTGCTGACACTAGGACTGGACTCACAGGTATATTTTACTTCAGTTCTTCACAGTCAGCTTTTCTCATGTGGCTTCTGGGGCTGCATTGGGGTGGGGGTGATTAGATCGACTGCCCGCCTCCTCCCCATTGCCCAATAAGCATGCCATGCAAGTCAGTTAATTAGTAGTGTTTCCTTTGAAGTCAGAATGCATCTGCCTATCAGGCTAGGAATCAACAGTGCATATAAATAAGCCAGATGTGTCAAATGGATGTGCAACATGCAGAACTTGTTCTGGAATGAGACTGCAATGAGTTGGGGTGTAATACCTCATTGTCTAGGTGGTGTTTAGTGTGTGTGTCATGAATGTTCTTATCAAACACTCTACGTTACATAACTGGTACAAGCCGACACCGACTTAGCCATACGAAACATATGTTTATTGGCATGATTTTCACTTACATCAGAGTCCAGTCGTTGTCCTAATAACAGCTTTGCACACCACTTCACGCAGCCTTCAACTCGCAGGTTCCTCACGCATTCACTGACCAGACTCGGCTCTGATATATCAGGTTGATCTTCTTGCCATTACACAGACTGGCCTGGTTGATCTTGACTTCACACTTTGTCGTCAGGGTCTCCTTTCACAACAAGCAATCTCACGTTGACATTCCCATCCTCTCACTCCAACAAGTCGACACAAACTAACTTGACCAGGATCAAGTCTGACTTATACCACGGGTTAGTTTCATGTGGCAACACATGGTGGTCCTTTACTTCCACGTGGCGACCTTTGGTCGCATCATCATGATAACTCGTGGTTGTCACATATCTCAAGATCCTCGTTTAATCCGAGTATCTGGAATATCTCGGTGTTTTGGGTTATCCATGGGCCTACTCCCCCAGCCTTCCTAATGTGTGTGAAAATATCTCCCATTACAGAGACTAAGCTCTAGAAGTGGGTGAACAATAAAAACCTTCTGCCACAGTTTACAGTCAGTGAATGCTAAGAAGAAGAAGAAGCTTTGAACAGTAAAGATCACTTTGAAGAAAACTATATGAAATGTTATATATTTATAATAACGACATATGTTTGTCCACATATTATGACTAGAGGAGGATGGTTTGGTCAGAGAGAATGTCAGAGGTTTAACATCTATCAAAGTCATCCTCTGTAAAAACTATGACTTTGTGAAAACAGAATTATGCAGATAAAAAGACATACTCTTCACTTTGCATTTACCCTGGGGAAACAGACAGTTTTTGAATGTAGTCGATGTTGTGTTTTAGTTCAAAGGATTCATTTATTTGCTTCATTTTAATCATTTGTTACTATCATGATGAGATACAGCAAAATATGACAAGCAGTAAATGTGCAGTCTATTGTTTGTGTCTTCTTTGTTAAAATTCACAACGAGAAAACATTGCTTTGATATAATTAGAGTAACTGATTACACCAGATATTTCTCTGTTCCTGAAATGTGTTTTTTATTTGGCCTATGTCGGTGTTAATCTTTGGCAAACATCTTCCATTAGATGTTATGACTATTTTTAAATGTTTGAATTTACTATCTTCCTGTCAATTTTTATTTTTTATTCCTTTGTAAAAAACATCTTAACATAAAGAGGGACGTGGAGGAGTTAATTTGTAATAAAAGTTATTTTTATTTTCGTGTTATTGCAAGAAAGTCCTGTTGAGAGTAATGTGTATATAAACTAGGAGTGTCATGATTAGAGTAATGTGTATATAAACTAGGAGTCATGATGAGAGTAATGTGTATATAAACTAGGAGTGTCATGATGAAAGTAATGTGTATATAATCTAGGAGTCATGATGAGAGTAATGTGTATATAAACTAGGAGTGTCATGATGAAAGTAATGTGTATATAATCTAGGAGTCATGATGAGAGTAATGTGTATATAAACTAGGAGTGTCATGATGAAAGTAATGTGTATATAATCTAGGAGTCATGATTAGAGTAATGTGTATATAAACTAAGAGTCATGATGAGAGTAATGTGTATATAAACTAGGAGTGTCATGATGAGAGTAATGTGTATATAAACTAGGAGTGTCATGATGAAAGTAATGTGTATATAATCTAGGAGTCATGATGAGAGTAATGTGTATATAAACTAGGAGTGTCATGATGAGAGTAATGTGTATATAAACTAGGAGTCATGATGAGAGTAATGTGTATATAAACTAAGAGTGTCATGATGAGAGTAATGTGTATATAAACTAGGAGTGTCATGATAAGAGTAATGTGTATATAAACTAGCAGTGTCATGATGAGAGTAATGTGTATATAAACTAAAAGTGTCATGATGAGAGTAATGTGTATATAAACTAGGAGTGTCATGATGAGAGTAATGTGTATATAAACTAAGAGTGTCATGATGAGAGTAATGTGTATATAAACTAAGAGTGTCATGATGAGAGTAATGTGTATATAAACTAAGAGTGTCATGATGAGAGTAATGTGTACATAAACTAGGAGTCATGATGAGAGTAATGTGTATATAATCTAGGAGACATGATGAGAGTAATGTGTATATAAACTAGGAGACATGATGAGAGTAATGTGTATATAAACTAGGAGTCATGATGAGAGTAATGTGTATATAAACTAGGAGTCATGATGAGAGTAATGTGTATATAAACTAGAGTGTCATGATGAGAGTAATGTGTATATAAACTAGGAGTGTCATGATGAGAGTAATGTGTATATAAACTAAGAGTCATGATGAGAGTAATGTGTATATAAACTAGGAGTGTCATGATGAGAGTAATGTGTATATAAACTAGGAGTCATGATGAGAGTAATGTGTATATAAACTATGAGTGTCATGATGAGAGTAATGTGTATATAAACTAGGAGTGGGGTCATTTGATGAGAGTAATGTGTATATAAACTAGGAGTCATGATGAGAGTAATGTGTATATAAACTAGAGTGTCATGATGAGAGTAATGTGTATATAAACTAGGAGTGTCATGATGAGAGTAATGTGTATATAAACTAGGAGTCATGATGAGAGTAATGTGTATATAAACTAGGAGTGTCATGATGAGAGTAATGTGTATATATATAACTGATAGAGAGTGTCATGATGAGAGTAATGTGTATATAAACTAGAGAGTGTCATGATGAGAGTAATGTGTATATAAAAACTATTGAGAGTAATGTGTATATAAACTAGGAGTCATGATGAGAGTAATGTGTATATAAACTAAGAGTGTCATGATGAGAGTAATGTGTATATAAACTAGGAGTGTCATGATGAGAGTAATGTGTATATAAACTAGGAGTCATGATGAGAGTAATGTGTATATAAACTAGGAGTGTCATGATGAGAGTAGGAGTCATGATGAGAGTAATGTATATAAACTAGGAGTGTCATGATGAGAGTAATTTGAGACATGATGAGAGTAATGTGTATATAAACTAGGAGTCATGATGAGAGTAATGTGTATATAAACTAGGAGTGTCATGATGAGAGTAATGTGTATATAAACTAGGAGTGTCATGATGAGAGTAATGTGTATATAAACTAGGAGTCATGATGAGAGTAATGTGTATATAAACTAAGGAGTGTCATGATGAGAGTAATGTGTATATAAACTAATGAGTGTCATGATAAGAGTAATGTGTATATAAACTAGGAGTGTCATGATGAGAGTAATGTGTGTATATAAACTCATGATGAGAGTAATGTGTATATAAATGAGAGTGAGAATGTGTATATAAACTAGGAGTGTAATGATGAGAGTAATGTGTATATAAAACTAAGAGTGTCGTGATGAGAGTAATGTGTATATAAAAACTAAGAGTGTCATGATGAGAGTAATGTGTATATAAACTAAGAGTCATGATGAGAGTAATGTGTAAATAAACTAGGAGTCATGATGAGAGTAATGTGTATATAATCTAGGAGTGATGAGGTAATGTGTATATAACTAGGAGTCATGATGAGAGTAATGTGTATATAAACTATGATGAGTCATGATGATGAGAGTAATGTGTATATAAACTAGGAGTCATGATGAGAGTAAGTAATGTTGTATAATGTGTATATAAACTAGGAGTGTCGTGATGAGAGTAATGTGTTAAACTAGGAGTCATGATGAGAGTAATGTGTATAAACATGAGTCAGATAAGTAATGTGAACTAAACTGATAAGAGTAATGTGTATCTATGAATCCTAAGAGTAATGTGTTGCCATGGTGGAGATAAGAGTAAGTACTATTCTGGTGTGAGCTGGATAAACTATGAGTATGATAAGTAATGTGTATATAAACTAGGAGTCCCAGGAAGGACAATGATGAGTTGTGTTTATAAACTAGGAGTGTCATGATGAGAGTAATGTGCATAAACTGACATGTTCATGATATCCTAGTTTGCCATGGTGGAGACAGTACTTTCTGGTGTGCTGGATCAGTATCCTAAGTTGCGACCCAGGAAGACATTTGTTATACTTGCGATATGCATCCTTCTGTTTATACTTGGACTACCCCTCACATGTCCGGTATGTTGTCTCAGGCTTCTTTATATTTAACCTTCAGTAGTTACGTTGCATGTTTGTTAGAATTTACTGTACGCGAAAATGTGAAAACTGTATTTTAGAGATTCTGCCATCGGACAGTGACAAGAGTTCTGTTCAGTTGCCATTGTTAGTGAATCTTTTCTGTTTTTGTTTATTACCATGAAGCCATTCTGTGCCGTTATTTATCAGCCCATTTCCCGTGAGTGTATCATCTTGTTTTGTTTTCAAAATAGTATTCTAAGAGCAGGTCGTAAAGATGTCTGTTTTATTTTAAGGAAGGAAGTCAATAAAATTAAAGGTCCCTTTCATGCCATTGGATGTATCGAGGCTAAACTCATATTTTTCTAGACCAGTTGGCCCTCAATGGGTAATGTGGTCAACATCACACTGACCCTGTTAATTATCAAGACTTTACCTGGTACCCATTTGAGTCTTGGTGGACCTGGCAGCCAAGCTCATGTCTGAAAAAACAAAAGCAGGTGCCACATGGATTTAAACCATAGACCTTCTGAACTACAGGCGAGCATCTAGCCACTACACTATGGTGGCTAATTTTAGAAAGTATAGGTAGCAAAATATTGATTCCAGTACATAAAGCTGGTAATATGTACACAATATATCTGGTTACTATTATACTCGGCAAGCTATTGAGGTACATCTTGTCTTTGTGTGTACTTTAACTTGTGAAGAAGCCAAGCCATGTTGACAGTGTCTTGTGTATTTAACAGAACAGTGGTATGAGTTTAATCGCCTACTTTACGTACCCGTAAAAACAAATTCTTAGACTAAGAGTGTTGTTTGTATTTTAAAATATGCTTGATAAATTAATTAGATAATAAACACAAAAACAGAAGCATTGAACATAGACAAAGTGTAGATTATATCTGTTATGACACACACTTATAAAATACAATAAAAATAAACACAATAAAATAAAAGCTGTAAGGGAAACAAAGGAAGAAAAGAACCTGCAACCTGCAAGCCAATTCTTCTTCTTCTTTTTTTTTTGTCGCACTGATACCAGGTTGTAGCCCAGTGCCTTGCTTTTCTGTATTTGTCTTGGACTTCTCAGGTGGCTTGGGTGATGGATTTGTTCATCTCTTTATTTCAGGTTTCAACTACACCATTTATCCATTTCGTTCTTGGTCTTCCTGTCGCCTTCCTCACAGATGTTCTGCTGTAAAAAGTCTCATATGCAGTCTTGTCTGGCTGCATTCTCACTAGATGGCCGAACAACTTCATTCTTTGTCTGTCGATATAATCCAGACATGGTGTTTTTCCAACTTTCTCTGTAATGCTGGTATTCGTAACCCTGTCTCTTCTTATTGTAGTGACCTTGAGGAGATAGCACATTTCACAAGTAGTCATTTTTTGTTCTAGTGTCCTATTCATCATGCATGCCAATTCAATGTTACAAATGTATTTCAAGACTAAATGCAGAATGACATCACCAAGTTTAACCTCACAGTAAGTTTAGATTACTATAGTGTGTTTTTTTCCATCATATTAAAAACTACTTCGCACATATCTGATCAAATAAAGATACAGTTAACAAGAAATATTTCTTTCAACTGAAGAAATACCAAGTGATTTACAAAACCTCATTTGTTTTTAAAATACATTTATTTGAATTTCCAGGGAGGCATGTATTTGCTGCAGCTGATGGACAACTATGTGGGTGGGATGACACTTATCATTATTGGATTTATTGAAATTATTGCCCTGGTTTTTATTTATGGTAAGTCGCTACAATAATTACAAACAACAGTGTAAATACCACGCATGTACAGCCATTATATGCTGTTTTTAATTCATTACGCCAATCTTTGTTGTTATATTATCAAACTCTGTCCCAGACAAACAGAGCTGAACAGTACTTGTCTAAAGCAAGCTAAAGATTTTAGATATGAAGGAATTATATTCTAGAAGATGAGAGAATACATCAAGGATTAAATACAAGATGCCAAAGGGCCAGTGCACTTATACACCAACTAATGTTCTTACCAAGTCACCCAAACTAAGTGTGACCACCAAGAAACATGTTATAAATGGCAAAGTCGTACCAGCACAGTGCTGATAGTGCCGAACTTGGGCATTTTTAAAATCTGACTTATGTACAATAAATAAATGTGAGTTTCGAAGAAGGTGTCAACTTAGCCATCTGAGACCAAATGTGAAATGATACTGTCACACAGACTGGAAGAACAACACCTTGCACCAAATTTACTGAGAAGCAGAAGAGCAGACTGTTCCTCGTGATGCTTAAAGGCAATGTGGAATATGTTGATGATGATTCGTGTTAATTAACTCGTTTTTTTGCAATAAGGCTATTATTTGACCTCTTTAAGATTCCCTGAGTTGGTTTCTGGTCCTTATCGAAGGTGGGGAATTGACTTCATGTATGTCTTTAAAAGTTGATTAATTAGAGGTCTTTCCTTCTAGGTCAGAGGGCATCTGCCTGAGAGGCGAGAAATCGACAGTCTGCATACAAATAAGCCAGATTTCTACAATGGATGTGCATGCAAAGCTCAGTTTCTGTAAAAAGACTAAAGTCCAGATGTGGATGAACAACTAGAACTTTCCATCAGAGTTTACAGCTATTAAATGTGAAAATAACGATTTTAGATACAAAATATAGTTGTTAAAAGTAACAGATGGTTAGGATAAAATGGGTTCATGAAACAAGTGTCTATGACTAAAAGAGATTATGGTGTGGCCCAACTAATAAACTGTGGGTAAATTACTTGCTTGTCATAGAGACATGCCTCTATATGATGTTTTTTCTTCTTCTTCTTTTTCTTCATCATCAGTTGTAAACTCCAGCAGAAAGTTCTGGTTGTTCATCCATTTCTTGACTTTGATCTTATTCCAGAATTTGAACTTTGCATGCACATCCACTTTACATATCTCGCTTATTTGTGTGCAGACTATTGGTTCTTTACTGTTTAGGCAGATGCATTCCAACTTAAAAAGAAACACTCTATATAGTTGACTTTCACAGCATGCTTGTTGGGGGTGGGGGAGGGGGGCAGTTCTTTTTCTCCAAAAACAGGGCGCCAGAAACCTGCACCAACTACACCAGATTGTTTATCTAAACTGAGTGTGTTGGTAGTTTGATGATTATCTCTTCCCATTAAACAATATAAACAGATGAATCCTAAATTTGTTTAAATATGTTCACTAGACAAAAACCATCAAATTCAGAGGTTCTGGAAAACTATGAATGAAAATAAAATTACTGAAAGAAATGAAAAAGGTACAATTTAAATATTTTGGCCACCTTAAAGGACCTAACACTCTTTTCAAATTCATATTGGAGTGAAAAGTCTAGGGCGTGAGAGGAAAAGACAAACAATGACACAAGTGGGGGGACAACATGAAAAGATAGAAAAACAACAGGCTAAGAGTGTGTATAACTAAGACAAGGGATAAAGCATGTTGGAGATCAATTGCAGCCAACCTTGATTGTGGAGACAACACCTGATTCATTGATTTTCTAGACATTGCTTAGAATTAACAATCATGGAGAGGGGAGGGGAGGGGGGGGGGGGCATAGTAACTGGCTAGCATTTTTGCCTACCAGCCAAAAAATCATTTGTTTAAATCTCCAAGGCAGGAAATGTAATAATTCGTAATGACCCCTGGGCATCCAGTGCATCTAAACCTGAAAAGGAATATTCTGAGAAGCAAACGCAACATAGACAGCATGAAACTTCAGTCTCACCCACCAGGTGTTGATCAGTCTACTAAACACCAAAACTGGTACTATATGCCCAACATGCTTTTCACGGTATTGAAAAAGGTCCTTTACTTATTAACATAAAGTGTGCACCTTTCTCCAGCCCCATCAAATTAACGGTTGTATGCTCTTAAAGGTGTCAACAGATTCTGTCGAGACATTCATGTCATGACAGGGAGTACACACTTTCTGTTTTGGAAAGTGACCTGGCGCATACTGAGTCCTCTAGTCATAGCTGTAAGTTATTGTTTGTTTGTGTTCATAAACAATTATGAGTGGGGAGGGGGGGGGGGGGGGGGCAACCATCATTATGCTGTCATTATGACGTTGTCATTTTTATCCATTCTCTGTATTGTCACATGATTAACACTCTTGACATCCTTAACAACAATACTGACAGGTTACAAGAGGTTACTGTAATTTCTGTCATACTTTTAAGGTTTCCATGTGAAGCCCCCCCCCCCCCCCCCCCCCCCCCCCCCCCCCCCCCCCCCCCCCCCCCACCCCCCCCCCACCCCCCCACCCCCCCCCCCCCCCCCCCCCCCCCCCCCCCCCCCCCCTGATGTGCCCCCCCCCCCCCCCCCCCCCCCCCCCCCCCCCCCCCCCCCCCCCCCCCCCCCCCCCCCCCCCCCCCCCCCCCCCCCCCCCCCCCCCCCCCCCCCCCCCCCCCCCCCCCCCCCCCCCCCCCCCCCCCCCCCCCCCCCCCCCCCCCCCCCCCCCCCCCCCCCCCCCCCCCCCCCACCCACAATTTGAACAGTGCGGAGAGATGTCAGTACACAACATAAAAAAATCACATTCACATTCATAGCACTATGGTTTCCTTATAAACCCAGGGTACAGCAAGATCATTCTTGCGAGTGAGTGAGTGAGTGACTGACTAATTGGCTGGCTGACTGACTGAGCCTATACTCAATTGATGGATAAAGAAAAAAGACTGAAAAATAAAAATTATTGTCATTACCTGTATTAAAGGCAAGTTCACTAATTATTCAGTGTACAAAACAGTTTTGTTTATAACTGATAATGTTCTTCAGGTCTTGTGTATAGAGTTAACCATCATTGGAAACTACATCTGCATGCTGGCTGTTATGCATTTGGTATTAGCAAAAAAACCAGTTATTTGTGCAAGGTGCAAAGGGAAAGTATGTAATCAGGCCTTAGGGTTCAAACCTTAATATTAGCTGGAATGTCTTTATTTTAAACTGCATGATTCTGAACAGCCTTATAAAATTGTCACCAGGCAGCTTTCATAAGTGTCTAGAGAGATAAATTGGCAAGGAAGAGATCAGAGGGAAAGACAAGAAAGACGTCAGCAAAGGAAAGAAGAGATATTTATATAAAATCAGATCATGGCAATTGAATCTTCACAATACACAGGTCACCCCATAATTGCTCTTTTCCTGTGCCAATGGAAACCACACAGAATGCCTTTTCCCTGTGTATAACAAAAATGACACAGACTTCAGTCTTAACAAATGTAACAAAATACGTGTGCCTTGAATTTTAAGGCAGCAGTCAGAAGTGCCAACACAAATAGTCTGACACTAGAAATGCAGTTCACTGTTGATGGAAGCAGCATTTACAAGTAATTAGAACAGATCAGTAGTTGCAAACACAATTAATCTAATTAGACACCACAAGCAACTCGCTTGCCATTTTCTGAATCTGTAATTCAAAAAACAAACTAACTTGAGTACAGTCAAAAAGCATTCCAAGTTAAATTGGCAGCTCACAGTGTCATGCCATGCACTAAACGCAGTAGCTGGATGATGGAACTATATCCTTTCTGACTACTATGGAGAGAAATGCAACATATATTGTCAAAAGCAAAATCTTGCCATGATTAAAAACAGTAAACCTTTCTAACTCCAGTAAACCTTTCTAACCACCATACTAACCAGAAGTCCATCATTTACATAAAGATCTAGAGGGAAAAACACAAAATCAGATTTGTTGACATATCTGAGGTGTTTAAGTGCTCTCATCAACCTGCTGGTTCTTCCATTCAGTGTGTGATTTCTTTGTTCAGAAAACATGATACCATTTTGTGATGCTTATATGCTTTCAGGAAATGCTTTCTCTTCCTTCCAGTTTATATTCATTTTTATGTTTGTTGACTACAAACCATCAACTTACGATAAATACACATATCCGACTTGGGCTGATGTGATTGGCTGGTTGATGACCCTGGCTTGTGTAATAGCAATTCCTATTGTTATGATCATCAAGATTTCTAGAGAGAGTGAGGGCAAGAACATCTTCCAGGTACCGTGTGTCCGTTTTCTTATTACAAATTATAGTTAAACATATGTTCTGATAGTTCCACAGCAAATATTGCCTTTTGGATATGGAGATAAGGTTTCCGGGAGCCTCACTGTACCCAGAAAAAAAAAAGAATAGACCCACTGCCACAAGTATGTTTTAAAAGTTGAATAATTAGGGTATTTCCTTCTAAGTAAAAGTGCATCTGCCTGAGAGGCAAGGAACCAACAGTCTGCATACAAAAGAGCCAGATCTATAAAACATATGTGCATGCAAAACTGAAGTTCTGGAACAAGAACTTTCTGCCCGAGTTTACAACTGGTGAACGCTATAGGAGATTTTGTTTTTCTGACAGTATAGACTGATCACCATTTTCCCATTGAAAGGATTTGTTCTAGACCTACCCAGCCTAAAATGGGTATCAGGAAATCATGTATTTTACTGTTATTTAAACACACATTTATAAATTAATAGACTCATCAATTTACTTTCCATCTCTGAAACTGAAGAGGCTTTCAAGATTATCTCGATTAGATACAGACCTATGATGAGAAAGTTAAGTTTATGAGAAGCAGCTTTAGAATGATGTGACAATCAGCAGGAAGAAAATGTAGCAGGAAAAAAATGATGGAGCTGTCAGTTTTCATAAGATCAAGAATTTGAATATGTTCTCCTTCACCCTTATTGATTGATAGATAGAGATCCCCTGCTTAGCTTTTTTGGATAAAAGTGAGAAACAGAAAATCTAACCCATAGACACTTTTAGAGAAATCTGACACAGACAGTGATGTTTTCCACATGTTTTGGGAGAAATCGTTGTAAAAGCTTAGTGGCTACTAGCAAACTTGATGGCAAAACAAAGAGCAAGGGGAAAATGGAAAAAAATACCCCAATGGCTTGACCACATGACATAACAAGTACAAGAGCACAGATATGATGTGAGAATTTTGTGATCATATGTGAAAGCAAACTATGACTGCTCATACTCTCAAGTATGGCACATGATGAAAGCCCACACACAAAAAATTAAATTTAACTCATTTAGAACTAAGCAAAGCACTTTTTGTTTATTAATAGTCTATCTGTCTCCATTAACAGAAAATACGTCTGTTGTGTCTGCCGAGCATCTACTGGGGCCCGGCACTGAAGAAACACAGACTGCTGGTCAATTACGTGGAAGGTTTTCAAGTTGACCCGTACAAAATCTTACAACCACGGGCAGCGTTTGTCAACTATGGTTTTGATAACTCCACTGAAGCAAGTTTAAAGGTAATGCTAATGTACTCGCATGTTGTTATGAGCACTGAATTTTAGAGCGGCCATGACATTTGTTGTTAAAGAAAATAGTGAAACAATTTTGTCCATTCAGGTTACTTCTTGTGACAATACTAGTTCATGTGTTTAACCCTTTCACCTCACAAATGTTAAAAAAAAAGGTAATGAACCTATGGAAAGTAAAAAAAATTGGGGGGGGGGGGGGGGGTGATCTTTTAAAACCACTATAGCAAAAACCTATTTTATTTATTTATCTACACTTTTTACATTGGTGTTTTAAAATATATAAAGGGAGTAATCAGTAAACAAGAACAGAGTGAAGTAGTAATCAGTTAACAAGAACAGAGTGAAGAGTTAATGGAATATGTTATAATATGTATCAGGTGGCTCAAGCCATGACCTCTTATCACTTGAGGCGTAGAGGGAAATTTTAAGCCAACCTTGGGTTTTTAAAAAGCTATAGGATTTACAAGCAAGCCTTCTAAATGCTATTTTTGATTAACATATTTACATCTGGGCCTCCTAAATGCTATGTGGGTGCACATAAAACCATTTAACTAAGTTTTTTCAGAATTAGTCACTGCAGAAGTGACGATATGTTAGCATTTCCATTGCTGTCACATCCTGAAGTGAGTAGATTTAGCCTTCTTAGGGCGATAGAGTTGACAGATGAATGGTAGCCAGTTCAAGGAGCACTCTCAAACATCACACTTTTTGGGTGTCCGGTTTTCTCTCATTTTCTTTGGTTAATGTCCAAGTTTGACCTGAAGTAGGTTTAATTATTGCAGTCATAATTTGTATTGTTATCTGTTTCCCTCTACGGGTTCCAACGCTTTCCCAAGAGGCAACAAACCAACAGTCTGTATAAAAATAAGCCGGATCTGTGAAACAGATGTGTATGCAAAACTCAAGTTCTGGATCCAGACCAAAGTCCAGGAGTGGACGAACAGCCAGAACTTTCAGCCAGAAGTACAGTCGGGAAGCTCTAAGAAAAAGAAGAGAGTGGTTAGTTTTCACACCGGCCACCTTTACTTTACCTGGTATCCTTTTAAGGCTGGGTTGACCTGAGAGCCAAGAACCCACGACCTTCCGATCTGCAGGCGAGCGTCTAGCCGAGGCGACTTGCCAAAGACATAAATGGAGACTACAAAACATAATAACAGGTTACCTGCAAGAAAAGAGGAAAATCCATTTGATGTGCCCGAAGACATGTCTGAAGAAGGGGAAAACTAGAGTACTTTATAACAGGAAAGCTGGAGGTGTATGGGGGAGACCAAGATAGAAATAGTTAATTTGCCATCCACCAAGGAGGAAAATCTGCAACAGAATTCATAGACAGTATACAAGACAGAAGGGAGCCGCTGTGGTGTAGCAGCTAGATGCTCACCCGAGGTTCCAAAAGTCATAGGTTCAGGTCCCGATGAAGCCAGATATATTTTTGTTTAATGACTTGGTAGCTAGACTGGCCCAGCCTTAAATGGGTACCAGGTAAAGTCCTGGACAGTAAAGGTGTTAACCACATCACACACTGAGTGCCGATTGGTCTATAAAATACAGTTCTAGCCCTTTATGCTCAATGCACCTGAAGATGTGGAATATGGTCCTTTACTTTTACACAAGACAGAAGGCTGTAGACAGACAAGATTACCAACGCTGTACTACTTATTATTAATTCTGTGTGGCACTGGTAGTCATGTCTATCAGCAACCTTCTGTCTCAGGTACTTTAAATCAATTCTGACACAAAAGATCTTCCATGCCATGAATTTAAACTGCCCAGCATCTTCTTTCTCAGTCTTTCCCTGCCTCTTTTCCCCTCCAAATTTTCCACCATCACAACCCACTCCAGTTTTTTCTTGAGTTGACCAATGAATGTTGACTGTCTCCAGGTGTAGGCAATCAGTTCTTTTCATCAGTCAATGTCTTTCCAGAAATCTTCATTACTCTTTTTAACTGTCCAGAGTGTTTTCATCATTTGTCTAACAAACGAACACACATCTATATGCTGCTTCCACATAATTTTTCACCTATTGGCCAACTGTCCATGATTCACTTCAGTATATTAGGACAGGATTTATATAGCTCTTGGGAATTCTTTTTTCTTACCTCAACTTACAAAGATTGCATGGACATTTTTTTTTTAATTTTGCTTTAGCTATTCTTTAATGTATAGCATGGACTATAAACAGAAAAAAAAACTTGGAGAACAGAATTAGATACAAAGATGAATCAAATATGGAATAAGCTTCAATGCACAACCTGGACAACTTGGGGCCAGTTTATTAATTAAGGACCTATGCTTCACTAGGGAGGCTGCCATGGTCTAGAGACTTGATGCTCGCCTGCGAATTGGAAGATCGTATGTTTTTTTTTTTTCAAAAATGACCTTGGCTCAAGCCTTGAGTGGGTACCAGGTGCAGTCCTCGGAAGTAAAGGCGGCCAGTGTGATGCTGACATCACCCACCAAGTGCCGTTTGGTCTATAAAATATAGGTTTAGCTCTATTGTATCCAATACGCCTGAAGGTGTGGAAAAGGGACCTTTACTTTTATTATGTTCCATTGGGGAAATAAAAGCCAGAATAATGAGAAACAGAAGTCACTGTGGTGTAGCGGCTAGACACTCGCCTGCAGATCGGAAAGTTAAGAGTTCAGGTCCTGGCGGAGCCAAACATTTTCAAAAACCTAGTCTCAAATGGGTATCAGGTAAATTCCTGAGAAGTAAAGGCAGCTGGCTTGATGTTGACTGCATCACCCACAGTGCCGAGTGGTCTTTAAAACAGAAGAATGGTTCTATATGCGTGAAGGCATAGAAAAGGGTCATTTACTTTAAATTTAATAAGATGGTGAAAGTGATGGAGGAAAGAGTAACTAAAGAATATTCTGATTCTGTTAACAGAAACCTAAAACTTATATAGGGGCCCCATGACATTAATGCCAATATGTCTCAAATAGATGAAAAGAATTTACAATATATATATATATATATTGTAATGATGTTATAAATAGGGATAATGTCAGGGGATGATTGGCATAATTGGGGAAGTCCCTGAGAGCATGGGTTTCATGGAGATATGGTGAAACGACAGGAAAGAGTGAGTCACGTGTGAATGAGGAGATCTGGGGGATTGAGAATCAGGCGGTCATTCGGTGACTGGGCCCCAGAGAGAAAGGATGGGAAATGAAGCTGTGAAGATGAATGGAGAATGACCAGAGCATGTGGATCTGAATCGGCGAGGAATGAATGATCGAGAAGGCCAGCTGTGATGGTACCGTTTGATTGTTAAAGCCAGCCGTGAATATGTCAACGTCTATTGTCCGAATGCTGTAAGTGGATTCTCCTGTGATTCGTGTATTGTGCTACCGTGTTAATAAACTCGTGAAATGTGCCGCTGGTGTCAACTGTTGTTAGAAGTTGTGTGACCGTGAAGATCATGTCTGCTTTGATTGAGTTGTGACCCTCTAGACATCAGAGCCAGTGTTAACTCTGCACCACAGATAGCCAGTGTGGAGGAGACACAAAAAGGGCAGTCATTACATATATTGTAATTCTGGAACAATTGTTACACCCAAGAAGGAAATGTTTATTCAGAATTTACAAACTATACGCTCAATTGTACATGGGCCTGGTGAAACTTTTTTTGTTTTATTCAACTACATCATATTTTTCTTTAATCTGATAGCTAAATAATTAAAGAGTTTATTAGGTGGATAAGAATAAATGAGGGTCTAACTGATGGTTGTTAACAGAGTTTAAAAAAAAAAAAATCACAATAACTAAAGACGATTGCATAAATGAAAATGGTTGACTTAAATAAAGCACCTGAGTGAATAAGTCCTATAGTGATAACGTGAGATAATAGCTCTTGGGACAGGTGCTCAAATCCTGCCTTTTTAAAAGTAAATTGTTCACAATGATTGTCAAGTCATATGTTCACAATGATTGTCAAGTCATATGTTCACAATGATCGTTAAGTCATATGTTCACAATGATCGTCAAGTCATATGTTCACAATGATTGTCAAGTCATATGTACATAATGATCGTTAAGTCATATGTTCACAATGATTGTTAAGTCATATGTACATAATGATCGTTAAGTCATATGTTCACAATGATCGTTAAGTCATATGTTCAGAATGATCGTCAAGTCATATGTTCACAATGATCATCAAGTCATATGTTCACAATGATCATCAAGTCATATGTTCACAATGATGGTTAAGTCATATGTTCAGAATGATTGTTAAGTCATATGTTCACAATGATTGTTAAGTCATATGTACATAATGATCGTTAAGTCATATGTACATAATGATCGTTAAGTCATATGTTCACAATGATTGTCAAGTCATATGTTCACAATGATTTTCAATTCATATGTTCACAATGATCGTTAAGTCATATGTTCACAATGATTGTTAAGTCATATGTTCACAATGATTGTTAAGTCATATGTACATAATGATCGTTAAGTCATATGTACATAATGATCATTAAGTCATATGTTCATAATGATTGTTAAGTCATATGTACATAATGATTGTTAAGTCATATGTACATAATGATTGTTAAGTCATATGTACATAATGATTGTTAAGTCATATGTACATAATGATCGTTAAGTCATATGTACATAATGATCGTTAAGTCATATGTACATAATGATTGTTAAGTCATATGTACATAATGATTGTTAAGTCATATGTACATAATGATTGTTAAGTCATATGTACATAATGATCGTTAAGTCATATGTTCACAATGATCGTTAAGTCATATGTTCACAATGATCGTTAAGTCATATGTTCATAATGATCGTTAAGTCATATGTTCATAATGATCGTTAAGTCATATGTTCATAATGATCGTTAAGTCATATCAACATATAACTGACAATTCACATTGCAGTGAATTGTTGCATTAATGGTTTCAAATACAAGCCATGATTTACTGAATATGTACTCGTAGTTTTAAACTTATGGACCCTTTGACAGAATTTGTCTACTGCACATATCATGAGGCTTATTTCAGTACATTAATTTACTACGCATATGTTAAAAAAAGAATTACAACCAAGCTCCAGTGGGAAATAATGGTAGAAGTTAAGAAGAAGTGTTCAGGAGAAAAGTGGTTAGCCTAAATGTTTCATGCATTCAGCAACCCAAACTGACCTCTTTTTTTTTCACTGTATCTTTGCTCCTTAGTCTGACAATCAAGGATCACTGGGTGCTTCACGAATCTCCATTATCTCAGCAGCGTCCAAATGTACAACAGCTACTGCAAAATCTGGGATGACTTATGAGAGTAATGTATGAAGCTCACACAGTAAGAAAACTGTCCCGAGTTAACACTGTTTGACTGTACAGTCGATCACTGTCTGCACAGCAGATATAATTCATGTAAAAAAAAACGAACAAGCGGATGGTCGTCTGTCTGTGGTCAAGTGTAACTTCCAATGAGTATTATACTGCCATTATGAAATAATAAATAAACTTGGAGGAAGTCATCATCATCATCATCATAAACCACATCTGCCGTTAAGCGTCGTGGGGAGGAATAATTTGTTATCCAGTGGCTATTGTCATGCCGTGAAGGGTAGAGTGTCTTTAATGTTGTCGATCCATGTTTTCCGCGGCCGTCCTCTTGCTCTTGTAGTTGATCTTTTAAGATGTAGTGCTTGTGATGGTATTTGATCTTGCTGCATTCTAATGAGATGGCCAAACCACTTGATCTGCTGTTTCTCGATGAATCTAGTACAAGGTGTCGTTCCCACAATTTGCCTGATAGATATACCTCTGTATGCTTCACATTCTCTCCTATTACCTTTCTTTTTCCATCTCGGTACTATTAATGCCTGTTGCCACTCAGCTGGGACCTTTCTTTCTCCCCAAGCTATTCTATTAAGCCATTTAACACCCACTTCTCGGCAGGCTTGGATCCCTTCTGTATTAATTCCATCCAGACCTGGTGCCTTGTTTCTGGGGCTGTTCTGTATAACCGCTCTTACTTCCGCTGCTATGAAATTTGGTTCCTCTTGTTCACAACTTTGAGGTACAAAGTTAACATTATCTACGTTGCCTGTGGGGTTGAGAAGTTCTTGAAAATACTCTGCCCATCTTGCCAACCTCTGTTGTGGACTAAATAGAGGTATGCCTCTCTTGTTGTTGATGATAGTTGTTGGTTTGTAGCTTATGTCTCTTTCTCTCATGATTTTTACATGTTTATAGAATTCTCTAGGGGAGTTCTTGCTGAGGGTAGCCATCTGTTGACCATAATTTCTCCAAGACTCGTCATTAGATGTTTTAATTTTGCGTTTTGCTTCTCTTCTTACTAATCTGTAATGTACATAATCTTGATGTGATGTTGATTTTATCCATTTTTTATATGCCTCTTTCTGTCTGGATACGCTGTCTTTAACTTCATTGTTCCACAAAATAGTTCTTAAACGTTTTACACCACCTACCCTTCTGACTCTGCATTTGGTTTGAAGTGTATTGAGCATAGCCTTCCTAAAACAAGTCCACTCTGAATCGATGTCTGAATATTTGCCTGGAAGGTTTTTAGTAGCTCTGCCATTTTTTGTTGAATCTTATCTTTAACCACATTGTCGGAGGAAGTGTAGAACAAAAAATGAACTGTAAACTGCTGAAATACTTTCAGTGTGTATCAATTCTTCTTCTTCTTCGCTTTCATCGGCTGTAAATTCCGGTGGAAAGTTCTGGCTGTTCATCCACCTCTGGAATCAGACTTGCTCCAGTATCTAAGTGTTGCGTGCACATCTGGTTTACAGATCTGACTTTTGGTTCCTTACCCCTCAGGCAGGTATTCTGACTTCAAAGGAAAACCCCCATTTAGTCAACTCTTATGACATGCTTGTTGGGGAGGCAGCGGGTCTATGCTTATTCCTCCCCCCCCCCCCCCCAATGGGGCCCCGGAAGCCATACAGGATATGTGTATCATTTAATATGTGACAGCCTTCAAACATACAAATGGCTGCTGACATTGATCAAGAGAGCTCCCATTCACAGCATCCATTTACTGAACTCTTGTATTTCATGTCGTGCTGTAGCAGCTAGATGCATTCTTGTGGATCTGAATGCTATAGGTTCAAATCTGCAAGGACGTGTCACATATTCTCAAAACATAACCTCTCATATAAAATGTACACTTTGTTTAGTTAAAAAAGCCGTACAAGTTGGAGATTGTTTCATTAGAATCACCTCCATGTAACAGGTCCTTTGCAAAACATGGCTCCCATCATGGCCTGGCAGAAAGACTTCCTGTCTAATGTTATGTGTCCACTCTCATGGTGGTCAGCCCCTGCCTCTAGTTCCAGGAACCATGCCTGCCATTTTTGTTGTTTCTAAACTATATTTAGTAGCAAAGCATTTCACATTCAGAAACATAATGCTATTATGAGCCAATATACCTCAAGGTGCAGGTCTTGTAGAATGTCCCACTTTTTCTTCTTCTCGATCTACAGTATTCGAAAAGTTTCATTACAATATTTATGTTCAGTGGGCTCAGTTTTCTACTTTAGTGATCGCAACACGTTGCATGTTGTCCATATGTTGCCATATTTTAGCTTTAATTTGTTTGCCAGACTATGCTGTTTAACCTCTGCATTTCTATTTCCAGTCTCCACTGGTAAAATTATGGATCAATGGTATTCAAAGCATATGTTTAATTACATGTTTTATCTGTGGATACTGTTTGGGTCTAATTCAGAAACTGATTTTGAATGTGTCTCTTGACAGATAAGAAAACTTTGTAATCCACTGGCACAGTTTGAGAAGAGGGCAGTGTATAAATCTGGGCTCTTCACTGCCGGCCCAAGAAAGCAAGCAGAGTGGCCCGTGGATCATTGCCAGTTGTATTGTATTAATGATCTTTTACTTCCGTATATCAGGATAGGATTTATTTACTGTATTTACACATTTACAGGCTGTAAGCTTCTTCAGGCCGACCCACTTTCTGAGACGATAATTTTATGAAAAAACTTTCTTCACCGAGAGACCAAAACCGAAACAGTAGTACCTGTAAGCAGTGAAAGATAGGCCGCATAGGAGCGAGTTACAGTTGTAAATTTAAGTTGCAAGTGGTGTGTTACGGGCAAGTGAATTTATAGCCAGTTATGACTGGGCAAGGCGCTTTATGGTACAACATGACCTCATGATTCGGCGGCAAACAACAATGGCGCAGTAACTTCCCGACACCTAGCAAGAGGAAATGTTTGGTTTCAAGACATATTCTGAAGTTACGGAAGCCACAAAACTATAGCATGGGGGTAACTGGAAATGCAGATGAAACTACCGTTTATGAATAAATTGTTTATAAGTGACATGTAGGCCTAATGTCTCAAATATGTTGCACCTCTTTGTCAACAATTTTCAGTTAAAATACCAGGGTAGTTCTTGATAATTCTCTCCTCACCTCAACCGATGAAGACAGACTACAGAGAATATTTTTTGCTTCAAGAAATGCTGCCTTTCCTTTACTGTGTGACTCGGACCTCTGGCCTGTGACAATCGCACATTTTCAAAATGTTGGCCCCTGAGTAAATTTAGCTGAACAGTTGTGGTACACAAAATGTCGTCAGTAATTACAAACAGATTAAATGTAGAGGTGAAACCACATTTCTCACCTGTAAAATACTCCATGATACCCTCACTTAAATAACAACAACAAAATTAGGAAACACCATCTAAACATTCACATACACTTTCACAATTTAAACATTAAATTAGTAGAAAAGCAAAGCAGACAAGTAAGATAGTTAAACAAGACTAAAACAAGTAATTTATTGAGAGTAAGATTGTATTTTTCCAAAAGGTGATTTAACCCTTTCGCTGCTATGGACGTCTTTTCCCGATTTCCAGTACGCTGCTACGCCCGTCTTTGGATGTTATTTTTTTTCTTGACCCCCCGTGCTATGGACGTCCCAAGCCGTTTTTGGACTTTTCTTACAGATTTCCATTACCTCGTATTTTATTGGCTGAAAACCAATATATACTTAGCTATATTTAGATTAAACTGACCCATTTACATACGATTAAAAGCATTGGCACGTGCTTTTAGGCGTGTTTAAGGTGTGTTTACTGCATTCTGCGTTATCCCGTTGCTTTGTTTACCGTGACAGCGTGGTCGATGATCTGTGTATTTTGTGCCCTGATATATATTTGTGCTTTTGGATTATTCTACACTTAGTACAAAATGGCAAGAAAACTTGTTAAAGTTGATGAAGAATTGATGGAGTTTCTGTCAAGAAGTGATAGAGAAGATGACTTTGAAATGTGTACTTCTGACAGTGAACAAGAAGATTTGCCTAGGCCATCAGTATCGACTGCTGAAACCGGCGTGTCCAAGAAAAGCTGTTTGCCTGTCCGACGTCCTCATCGTCGGAATCAGAGAGCAGCGACAATGAAGCGCCATCAAAACTGCAATAAATTGATCAGTTGTCTTGATCAACCGATGATTTGAAACCAGTAGTGCATAATTTTGATGACTCCAGCTCTATCTGTATTTCTGCTACTATAAATTCAAACAGTTCAGTCACTAAAAATTATCGTCTTTCCCGATGGACAGACACAGATTCGGACGAACTTTTTTTTTTTCTGTCTCTCTGCTAATGCTTAGAACAAAGAAACTCAAAATAGAGTACTTGAGCAAAGACTGTTTGCTAAAAACTCCCGTAAAATAATGTCGAGGGACATATTTTTACTATTGTTGAGAATCTCAAACATTTCTCAGACAACAGTGCTCATGCAGGCGGCGATAGACTACAAGCTTAGACACGTTATTGATAGTCTGCGCACATCATTCATTATTATTTTATTATTTTGGTATGTAATAACATGGTGACTACAAATAACTAAGATTAAAGTGGCAGCCGTGGTAGGTTCGTCAATCAAATTTTTGGATACGGACTGGGAACAGCTCTTCCCATTAATTCCCCCCCCCCTCCCCCCCCCAAAGGGTGATAGCTCCGTTAGTCAAGTTTGTGGGGCACCATCGTGCCTCTGACTTGTCACCACTTGGACCAACCACACAACTCCCCAGGGTAAAATTTTTAGGTGTACAAAATACAGCCCTCACCGCCGACGTATCTTTTGCGTTTGGAGGATAGAAAAGTATTGCGCACAGCAGAGACTTTTTTTTCACATTGCTTAGCACAGGGCAGACAACTATTTCCGGGAACGTAGCAGCGAAAGGGTTAATGAAACAAGACAGCTGAGTGGAAAAGAAATTTAGTGAAAAAAGCATGTGTGTAAACACCTATTCAGAAACACTTTATAACGAAAAAGGTGAATAAGACTAGATAACCAACACACACGTGCGCAGGAAGGTAGGCCACACTCGCGCTCATACACTGATGTGAAAGTTGAATGCCTTAAAGAAAATAATTTAATTAAAACAAGAGTGGGTAAGAAGACAGATGTAATGAGACAAAGACAATAATAGAAGACAAGATCATTCTATGGGCCATGATGATCAAGAGAAGTATGAAGTCAGATTTGCTGGTCACAGTATTTGTTTTTATAAATAAATCAAACATACCAGAGACAAAATATACAAATTTGCAGGATATCAGAAGCCTCTCTGGCAGTGATGAAATGTCGCAAGCTGGCTTGGTTCAGGCACGTGGTGAGACATGATTTGATTGCAACAAACGCTGTGTGGGGGGTGGGGGGAGGGGGGGGGGGTGGTGGATGGTAGTCAAAGACGAGGAGAGCAAAGAGGAAATTGAAATGACATCATCAAGAAATGGATAGGATTAAGTTATCATACACTTATTCATCAAGCAGAAGACAGAGAAAGATGGCGAGTTTTATGTGCTAGTGCTTTCATCGATACATCTCTACGACCCTAACAGGTCAAGAGCTATGTAATGTTATGTTATAAATAAGTAACCTATGCTCATATAACTTTAAACACTGAACAATCATATGTATACTGTTTAGAGCTATACATCAGGGATTTTATTATACAAAATACTGGCCTTCATTGTGTGACTTTTATAATTACATTTTTTGTTTTAAACATATTCCTTATCAAGTTTATATTCAGTTACAAAGACTGATCTGATATTATTGCCAAGAATAAAGTAATTGCTACACATTGATTAACTGTTTTCTGTCCATTTTTGCTTTTTAAAAAAAAAAGAATTCCTCACATTCAGATAAGGATTCTATTAGAAATAAGAAGCAAGGTGGTACAATTTGACTGAACTCTGTGTATCGGTATTGTTTGGTCTAGTCAGTATCAGTGATGTAATATTGAAATATTTAATAATATCCACGAGGTTTCTGCCAGTTTAGCTGCATTAACCCTCTCAGGACTAGAAGGATTAATGAAGTAACAAAGTTCTTGGACATTATAGGACCCTGTTTATGCCACTAGTTCAATGGTCACATAAAGGTAAAGGACCAATTTCTACACCTTCAGGCGTATCGGGCATGTAGGGTTAGACATATTTTATAGGACCAATCAGCACTGGGTGGGTGATGTGGTCAGCATCACGCCAGCCACCTTTACCTGGTACCCACATACGTTTTTTAAGGAAAGAAAGTCTCGACTCCATTCAGATTTGAACACACGACCTTCAGATCCTCAGGCAAGCATCTAGCTACACCATGGCTCCCAATGGGCACGTACCTATACTTAAAAATACTTTACTGGTTAACCATTTAACATAGAATATTAGAACATTTCTTTTAAATGATAGATTATGTAACAAATTTGTTGGACATTTTTTCACGGGCAGAACAAGAACCCATTCCTGATCATCTTCTTTTTCTTCGCGTTCACCAGATGGTTGTAAACCCTAGTTGTTCATCTACTTCTGGACTTTAGTCTTGTTCCAGAACCAGAGTTTTGTTTGCACATTAATTTTACAGATCTCGCTGATTTGTATGCAGCAGACTATTAGTTCCACACACCTCAGAGAAATGCTTTCCAACTTTGAAGGAAAAAGCCCCAATTAGTTGACCTCTACAACATGCTTGTTAGGCGGCCTAATTTAACCCCCCCCCCCCCCCCCCCCCCCCCCACAATGGGGTTCTGGAATTTCTGATCTGAGATTCGAGGTCAAGTGAGATGGTCAACAGTGACCACCTAGGATGAATATCAGCATGGCACATGATGATGAAGCAATACAAATCACACAGTATGTTTGTTTAGGCTGTCTTATATTTATACACTTTTTGTGACCTCAATATACACCAGTTTATAAGACCAAACTGAAAACCCACAACCAATCTGCACATAGATGAATATGGATGTACTCTACATATTTATTTTCAGTGGGTGCAACTTGCATACACACAGCAAATATTCAGCACCAGATTTATCTTATGGCTTATCTAGCTACAGCTTAAGACAGGGCTAGTCGAATGGTGGCCCATGGATGGCTTCCAACCCACAGAAGCCTAGCAAGTGGCCCACAAAACACACCGCAAATTGAGTTAAGAACTGACATCACAGCATTCGGGAAATTCCCATTCGTGCTCAGTCCTCATCTTCAGCAGCCAGTGCAGAGTTCCTATACTAATGGTACCAGTCATAATCTTGCTATATGTTTGTCTTGCCTTCCCCCTTAGTGTAGCAAGCCAGCCAGACCTCCTGGTTACACCCAGGTGCCTCATTCTCTCCAGGCCATTATAATCTTGTTTCGCTTCTGACTCTATTGCTTTTTCCCAAAGGGCCCTGACCACATCTGCCTTGTCATGTACCAATTATCCAACCAGTGGTGCAGATCCAGCCAATCTGTCTGCCTGTTCATTCACCACCATGCCAGCATAGCCTGGAGAAAAGATCCAAAGTATGTTCACTACCCATGACCTTCCCAGTGAAGCTTGCCACTCTGCTTGAAACATCCCTGTGGCCAACTGTACTGCATTAATTATCTTTCTATGCTGGGGTGTTCATACCTCTAGCCCGTGATGATTGCCATTTTTAACAATTTGTCCACTGAATAAACTTGAATAGCCCCTGCATGGGAAGTTAAATCCTCAAGACTGTGTTTTCATGGACTTCACATTTTCCCTAGTGAATTCAAATTGTTTTAAATTCACCACTAGCATTCATTTGGCAACCCCACCAGCTATCCTTACATGGCAACCACATCTGGCAACTCTTCCATCCCTTTAGCACCTTTTCCCAAAAGAGAATACCAGTGGACTCTATCCTGAGTTCAAACATGTAGCAAAACAACATCCAGTTATATAATCTCTTAACAGCTTTAAAAATATTGCTGCAACTCAACAGGTAAACACAAATGTGCATGAATAGGTACATCATAGCCTGTATCTTTCTGCATGTGTATTTATACTTATGATAGGTGCAGCATCTAAAAAGTGTCAATGAAATGCACATTCCTGAATTTAAAAATTGTCAAGATAAATTTCTAATTCAATTTCAGTAGTGCTTCCGGCAGATAAATTATAGTGTATAGAGATCAAGCAAAACAAATGATTATATGTACTTCAACAATTTTAATGCCTGCATGCCTAGCTGCAATCGTTAACTTACCAAAACATACCACAAAAAATGTCCCTCCTGTGACCTTAAATCACAAAACAAGACATACGGTATCTTGTTTCTCTCCCAGAATATATACATTAGTGGTGTCAATTTGTCACATGGTTTTTACCGATGCTCCTGATTTTCAATTATTTTATCTAATTTTTTCACAATGTCTTCCAATAATGTCATTTTCTTTTTCTCCATTTCCAGCAACTCCTCTTTAATAGCTAACTTTCTTTCTTGTAAACTTTCTGCATCTGAATGCTCTGCATTGCTTGGACCCTTTCTTTTCTTTGCTTTAGAAACCGGTTCTTCTTTAACTTTTGTTGGTGGCACTTTCTTAGGGCTGGGAGTTGTCAAACTGGGTTCATCTGCTTCATCAGCGGAAACAGAAGAGATCACGCTGTCCTTTGAAGTGTGTGGAACTGAAATGCCATTTTCAATGGTGTCACGAAAACGTCGTGGTTCTCGTCTAGTTCTCTGAGGGCGACTGGCTGTTGATGTCTGTGTGTCTCTTGCTGCCTGGCTTTTTAACTGAAAACAAACAGTAAAAGACACATGGAAACACGAGTGAACATAGTCTTAACATAAGTAATTAATATCTATACAAATAATGTACACAGAAAATTTTGTGTAAATAAGATACACTTCTGGCACTTGAAATACGCTTACTTTAAATAAATTCTGCATGTTGTGACACCAAAAGAAAACAAAATGCAAAATAACTGCCTGTTTTAGAACTGTTGGGAAATGTGCCATCCTTTAATAACGCTAGTGAAACTAGCTACCAAACATTTGTTTAATAAAAGTAGCTAATAAAAGTGATAAGTACTATAATGGCTCCTTTTGGGTGCAAGAACAGTTAACAGATTAACAGATTTTACATGACATTTTAAACATTCAAACCCCCGTGTGGGATCTGGGGCCCCATTGTGGGGAAAACAAGAATAGACCCACTGCCTCCCCAAAAGCATGTCGTAAGAGTCGACTAATTAGGGAGCTTCCTTTGAAGTTAGAGTGCATCTGCCGGAGAGGCAAGGAACCAACAGTCTGTATTCAAGAGAATGAGATTTGTAAAACTGATGCACACGCAACACTCATTTTCTGGAGCAGGACTGCAGTTCAGTAGTGGACGACCAACCAGAATCTTCCGCCAGAGTTAACAGCTGGTGAACGCGAAGAAGAAGAAGAAATATTTTTAAAAAAGTGTCTACTGACACAGAAAGAGATGCAAACAAGGGTAAACTCAAAATCTGTTAATCAGCAAATAAATGATTTGCTGACTCTAGTGACAGCAGATAACATTAATATCTCTAGTTCAAAACTTTACAGCTCGTAGTAGAAAACCCCACAGCCCCAACACTTCTGAAGCAAAGATCATAGAATTCTGAGGTAGAAATTATGCAAACTGTTTCTAGACTGCGAAATATGTCCTAATGAAAGATTACCTGCCTCACAGCTAATGGATATTACTAAGCACATCACTTTACTAAACTAAAATAATGTTATTATAAAACTTTTTCTTTGGAAAACAAACATTCCCTTAAGAAAACCTTTTATATTCTTCCTAATAAATGTTACTTGCCTCCCTTGTATCCCAAACACATTACTAGTTATTTTTAACTTACAAATAACTCACTTTTTCCGCTGGTGGAGTTTTTTCCTCATGCTCATCTTGTTTCGTGCGTTCATCCTCGGCGAGAGAACTGTCTTTTACTTCTTCACTTTCAGATGCATCACTGTCATCGTTACTACCACCACCTGCTTCTGAGCTGATCAAATTTTTATTTAATGCATTATTTCTTTTCTGACTTATCAAATCATGATATTTTACTCTATTATTATACTGTATAAAATACAGAGCTTCAGGACAGACTAAAAAGAGTTGTTGAATTTTTTTTTTAAGTGAAATATGACAGCTGCATTCTAAGACCTTATCACTCTTAAAAACCATATTGTTTGTAAGCTCGGAAGGCACGTGGGCAACAGACAGACAAAACACGTTCCTGTGTGGGTTTTGGAAACCCACTGTGGGGGAAAAAAGAAGAGATCCACTGTCCCCTAACAACATAGAAGATGTCACACGCAGGCACAGAAAAGATCTGTTTTTCTTTACCAGCCATTCCCACCTATTTTGACTCACTGAGCCCTGTTTAGAATGAATTTCTTTGGTACAGCTTCTTGGGCCTATCGTACCCTATGTCGTCCAAATTCAATGGTGTTTAGAAGTAATGTTACGGAGTGGATGATGGGAGGGTAGGAAGTAAGAGTATTTCAAGTAAAGAGATACCCAAATAATTTAGCAATGCTCCCGCAATGAAATTATATTTTTAGAACTTGGTCATAAAAAGTTCTTCAAGAATGAAACCACATTACAAAAAGGGAGCTACTGTTTTTTAACAGCTAGACGCTCACCTGCAGATCAGAAGGTTGTGAGTCCAGTCCTGGAGGAGCCAGACTTTTTTTTCAAATGACTCTGGCTCTCAGGTTGACCCAGCCTTGAGCGGGTACCAGGTACAGTCCTGGGAAGTAAAGACAGCCAGCGTGATGCTGACCATACCTCCCACTGAGTGCCGATTGGTCTATAAAATATAGGTCTAGCCCTATATACCAAATACGCTTGAAGGAGTGGAAAAGGTCCTTTTCTTTACTTTTTTACTTACATGACAAAAGGTTTTACACATTGGTGAGAGCAGCAATAAGGTCCATAAAATAATAAATAAATGTTTAGCAAAACAGATGTGATTGCACTGTTTTGCAGTTGTCTTATTTCAGGCTCAAATGATGACGACAGCAGGCAAATGTCTGGTTATGCATCCAAGCAGCTTCAAATTTTTGTTTCAGTCGAGATATAAGTGACTGGAAAAATAACAGTAGGAAGAAAGGGCAGGGGCTGGCCAACACAAAGATGGGCACAGGATAAAGTGACTCCTTGGATATGAAAGTGCATGAGGCGTGAGAGCTGGCAAAAGACCAAAGTTTCTTTCAGGCAGACCGTGATGACAGTGAAGGTCTGCAAACAACCTGCAACATGATGATGATGAGATGTATAAGTGGAGAATCCTACTTCAGAGACATGTAGCTGAAAAAATGGAGCAATATTAATTTTTCTTTATCAGACAAGATTTCCAGTTCATCTTGTAAATGCAACCCAAACTTCAGTAGACCTTGAATTTCTTCTTCTTCTTCGCGTTCACCAGCTGTTAACTCTGGCGGAAGATTCTGGTTGGTAGTCCACTACTGAACTGCAGTCCTGCTCCAGAAAATGAGTGTTGCGTGTGCATCAGTTTTACATATCTCATTCTCTTGAATACAGACTGTTGGTTCCTTGCCTCTCCGGCAGACGCACTCTAACTTCAAAGGAAGCTCCCCAATTAGTCGACTCTTACGACATGCTTTTGGGGAGGCAGTGGGTCTATTCTTGTTTTCCCCACAATGGGGCCCCAGATCCCACATGGGGGCCCTTGAATTTGAAACATGATTTCATCCAAAAGATTAAATGTCACCCCTTGGTGTTGGCAGTCTACAAAAAATAGAAGTTCTTCGTGATGGCTTTGTAAGTAAATAAAAAGCATTAAAACCGCCAACCCAGTCAATTAATTGATTTGTGGTGCAAGTTTGGCAGACCTGATGCGTCCCCAGAGTAATTGCTGATTTGTCATTTCTCAATCTTTAAATTCAATTTTTAATAATTTTCCATGAGGAGCGGCTGCAGATCCCCTGGGAAGTGCAAGCAGAGCATCGGAAGAGAACTGTTGTTCTATAAGAACCAGAATGCAGGATAATGTGTAATCATACGGTGGAGGTAGTGCAGATTTTGTTTTGTTTTTTAAACTGATGACTGCCAGAAACTGATCTAGTCTTATCTTGTAGCTGAAAACACAGATGATTAAATAAACAAAATGTCAGACTTTTTTTTTTTTACCTTTTCTCGTACTCTAGTTTCCTGTTGATTTTCTTCTCAATGTTTAAAATATCTTTGATGGACATGGCTCTACCCGTCTCCTTTGTGAGCTTGTCACGAATGAGCATTCTGGCCAGCCGTTTGTCCTCATGTGTGCTAATAAGATTATATATCTCCATCTCAGTTTCTTCATCTAACTGCTTTTGTCGAGACAGAGATCTGTACTGCTCCTGCAAAGGATGTACAACAATGAAATCAACAAAAGGGCAGCAGTAAATCAAAAGTCCTACTGTATTTACCTATAATATTTCTGCACAATGTAGTAGGTCTTTAAATAATTGATACATGATATGGCAGCCGTGCTTAGTGCCTTGTGGGAGTGCGTGTACAGTTCAGAGGAGCAGATAGATCACCAGTCTGGTAAGATTGATGCAGGGGGAGTGACGAGAGGTTCTGGCAGATGTGAGGCTCAGAGGAAAAGCAAGACGGACGTTTAATCAGAATGCAACTACACCATTAGTATCGGAACTCTTTGCTGGCTGCTGAAGATGGGGATGGAGCGCTTATGGGAATGCCCAGAGTGCTGTGATGTCGGTTCTTGAATCAAATCAAATATTTGCATGTGTTTGCATAGCACAGCAGGTTTTTGCAACATACAAAAGTTTTACACAATACAGTTGATTTGATATAATACGTAAAGGTTAAATAGGGACCTTTTTGTTAGCCTTCAGGTACACTGGGCATATAGGGCTAGACCTATATTTTATAGACCAATCAGCACTCGGTGGGTGATGTGGTCAACATCATGCCAGCCACCTTTACTTACCAGGACTTTTACGTAGCAGTACTGATTTTTTTTTTTTAAGTTTGGCTTCAACAATGAAGTAGGATTTTATATAATAAAGCAGGTTTCTGTAAAACATTGCTCTCATCAAAACAGCACATTTTCAGATACCTGGTGTCCTTACTGTCCTGTCGTCAAGTAGTAGCAAAGTAACCTAGCTTTGCATGTCATATTGTTTATAAAGTTGAAAGTTTCAGTTGACAGAACTGATTCAACTGCAGTGGTTTTATCCCCTATGTTATGTCTACACACAAAAATATAATTTAAGAAAGCTTGTGCTTTAAACTACCCACACACAAAAAAACTATTAACAAAAACTCGTGGATCAAAGTACAAAAATAAATAAATATCTTCTAAGACCAAACAATTTAAAACTGATACCAACACTCACTTCACTTATTTCATGATTGTGGCAATCGAGCTTGCTCTCCTTAATTACCAGTCTCTGGCCATCTGGAGTTGCCGAAATACGTATGCGCACAGGACAATCAATTTTTCTAGAACTGAATAAAATTGAGAGAAAAAAAATTATGAGTGAATACAACTTCTTCTTTTCTCTACTCCTGAAATGCCTGGCAGTGTCAGGGCAGGAAGAGATCTCTGGAACGGTCCCTTCTGTTTGCTTCGAATAAAGCACTTTTCAGTGTCTCTGATATTTCTGTGGTCCATCTTCTGGGGTGGTTGACCTCTCTGGTGCTGTTACCACTGTATCTGTATAACACTGCTCTGTGGTGCCCTGCCTGATGCCAATCTTGTTACATGGCCACACATGAATGCAACTAACCAGACACAATATGGCATGTACAGAGACTTTACTTTTCCACAGACATGATGGTAAGCAAAACTTGGAGACTTCACTTTTCCACAGACATGATGGTAAGCAAAACTTGGAGACTTCACTTTTCCACAGACATGATGGTAAGCAAAACTTGGAGACTTCACTTTTCCACAGACATGATGGTAAGCAAAACTTGGAGACTTCCTTTTTCCACAGACATGATGGTGAGCAAAACTTGGAGACTTCACTTTTCCACAGACATGATGGTAAGCAAAACTTACATGTACTGAACTACGTAACATCCATCCAAATGCAAACACATGCTGAATTATTTTTCATAGGTACTGTCTAAATATAGATGCCTATCAAGCCATGAAGTATGTGATCAATTTAAACTCTTCCCAAAGGCTTTACTACAAACATAATTGCATTTCAAGTCGACATGGTGGAGTTAAACAAAGCAGCTAGCTTGCCACTTGGTAATAAATTGATGTATGACTAGCTTAATGTTGTGAGGACCCTCTGGGAAGTGAGTGAACAGTGCGGAGGCAAAAACAGATCATTATGGTCTGATGAGAATGGCGCTGTTACCAGGAGATCTAGCTGACACTCAACACTTAGGGGAAAAGGTGAGACAGCTGACACTCAACACTTAGGGGAAAGGTGAGACAGCTGACACTTATCACTTAGGGGAAAGGTGAGACAGCTGACACTCAACACTTAGGGGAAAGGTGAGACAGTTGACACTTTACACTTAGGGCAAAGGTGAGATAGCTGACACTCAACACTTAGGGCAAAGGTGAGACAGCTGACACTCAACACTTAGGGGAAAGGTGAGACAGCTGACACTTAACACTTAGGGCAAAGGTGAGACAGCTGACACTCAACACTTAGGGGAAAGGTGAGACAGCTGACACCTAACACTTAGGGGAAAGGTAAGACAGCTGACACTCAACACTCAGGGGAAAGGTGAGACAGCTGACACTTAACACTTAGGGGAAAGGTGAGACAGCTGACACTCAACACTTAGGGGAAAGGTGAGACAGCTGACACTCAACACTTAGGGGAAAGGTGAGACAGCTGACACTCAACACTTAGGGGAAAGGTGAGACAGCTGACACTCAACACTTAGGGGAAAGGTGAGACAGCTGACACTCAACACTTAGGGGAAAGGTAAGACAGCTGACACTCAACACTTAGGGGAAAGGTGAGACAGTTGACACTCAACACTTAGGGCAAAAGTGAGACAGCTGACACTCAACACTTAGGGGAAAGGTGAGACAGCTGACACCTAACACTTAGGGAAAAGGTGAGACAGCTGACACTCAACACTTAGGGGAAAGGTGAGACAGAATGTACAATCAGACAGTTTCTGGTACCGTCAAAATTTAAACTTTTCATCTGCTACTAAAGATGGGGACGGACGCTAATTGGAGTATCCCAAGTGCTATATTGATTCTTAATTTTAAATTTAACATGCAGCATGGGTCATCAGAAGTTAGTCATTGTAGGCATTCAGGCATGCACACCAATGCTTAATTGCTTGTGGAGACAGCAGATCTGAAGGACTTTGGTTGTTCACTGAACTATTTTGAACCATTTGGTCACTGCTGTGATATCTGTGTCACAGTGAAAGTGAAACTCTTGTCCCTTGAGAGATTTTTTAAGAATCCTAATAATAATAAATCAAAGTCCCATGGGGAAAGATTGGAACTGTTAGCTGAGTGTGTCAGTGACAGGTATGTGTCTTCCATGCTAAGTTTTCCTGTACAATATTTTCTCAATGCGGACCAGCATTATTGTTGTGCATGCAACATCTTGCATAAGCAGACATAATGTAACGCAGCAGCAGCCTTTAAAAAACTGAAACTTTTATTTTTAGGGAAGAATTTATTTATTATCAACATCCCAAGAATACAAAACAAGCAGCAGGCAGCACTAATAATTTTCAATTAAGTATGCCAGTTTTGTTTTTCTGCTCTAAGATAATCCACAAACAAATTAATGTAACACTTTACTTTCTGGTTGTTCTGGATTCTGAAGCAAATTAAAAACAACAAAAAAACTGAATGTTGCTGGTCTGATCTAAACAATTAATATTTGAATCCATTTTTATTTTACGTGAGCTCAGCCACTACGTTAAAACAAAAGTAAACTATGAATATTTTGATTGAGGTTCTCCTTTAAATAACGGCCGCTAGTTGGACGTCGACGGCCGCTTAGTCGGAGTTTTCACTCCCCTGGCTGCAATTACGGAGTGGACAAGTCACGAATCAAAACACAAAGTGACGTCGACATGGCTGCTAGAGCTAGACTACGCGCTGCTACTGACATTAGCGATCGCGTTCTTGCGACGCAAGACTCTCGTAGACCACGCGCTGCGACTCAAATTAGCGACCGCGTTCTCCCGACGCAAGACTTAGTGACCGTAGATGTGAGACCTGCGGATCTGTATGTCGTGATGAGCGATAAGCTTGCGTGGTGTCCGTGATGTATTACCCTACCCCTAACCCTACCCCAAACCCTAACCCTAGGATGACAGGTAACTATCTCATTTGTTTCGTTCCCTCTTTTCCACTCCGTAATTGCGCTGCAGCCAGGGGACTGAACTCTGACTAAGCGGCCGTCACCTTCCAGCTAGCGACCGTTATTTAAAGGAGAGCCTTGATTTTTCTGTATACTACAGTAGTAACTAGTATTGTATTGATAAATATTAATATTTAAAAAGCATTTTTTAAAGTAAATAAGAATACCAGTAGCAAGTTTAGTCAAAATGGTTATCCTCCGAATAACGGCCCCAAATTATCGAGGCCGAAAATGTACCCTAACAGGGCCTTAGTTACATGTAAATTGCGGACTTCCAGTGACTAAAACTGTGGATTTCCGGCAACTACCGCCACCGCTGAAAGTATCTCCCGCGCTGCTATGCAGAGCAGGGCTAAACTAGATGGCTGGGACTCACCGCATCTCCTGCAGCTTCCATCATTTTATCTGCTTGTGAGTCCCAGCCATCTAGTTGAGCTCCACTCCACTGGAGGATAGCTGATAGCCGTCAAAATTTATAAATTGTCACAAAATTGTTCTTTTAGTTTTAGTCCTTTTAAACCATACCAGCTGGAAGAGGTTAACAAAACAGTCATGCCTTTTTTTTTTTAAAAGTTAAATATAATAATCACATACTTAGAATTGCGAATCCCTGTTGATTTTGAAGGACCCTTCCTTGGTCCAAAAGTACAGGCATATGTCAACTGCGAAAATTTTATTTGTGGATTGTATGTTTTGCTCAATGAAGTTTCCTGCGCTTTTTCAACCGAGCGCGAATCTATTCTGCTAAACTGGACAAAATTTGCGTCTTCATATTGTTCCATTGCCGCTTGAAAAGCATCAAAAGATTCAAATTCTACACCTTCTTGCAATAACCCAGCCATTTTGAATGTGAAGTATTCCACACAGACACAAAAACAAAACAGTGACCAGTAGAATTTATCAGATACCCATCGGCGTCTTTTTTCGTTATTTGCAGTTCCGTGCAACTTTCCAACAAACCGGAAGTAACCTTTTTAACGATATGAGAAACAAAACAAAAGTACTACCAACAAAAAAATGATCGTTAGCGACTCAAAAGAATGTTGAATTAAGAATCGACATCACAGCACTCGGGACACTCCCATAAGCGCTCCGTCCCTATCTTCAGCAGCAAGCGAAGAGTTAAAATATATACATATATATATATATATATATCCGTCTCGCCCCTCCCCCGAGCGTCGGCCAGATCCCATTGTAACTCCTCGCAGTGCATTTTCCTCAGACCGTAATGATCTATCTGTTCCTCGGCACTTTTCACTCGCTCCCAAAGGGCCCTCACAACATCCAGCTTGTCATATATCATTTCAACACCAAGTGGTGCAGAACCAGCCAGTCTAACCGCCTGCTCATTTCCCAACACACCGGCGTAATCTGGAAAAAATATCCAAAGGATGCTATCTAACCGGGACCTCTGAAGTGATGCTTGCCACTCTGCACGGAGCATGCCTGTCTCCGCGTTTTTCAGCATGCTTTGTGAGTCAGTTACAATGACGAAATGTGTGTACAGCTGATTCTCAAGCCAACGGAAGGCAGCAGTGACTGCCTCCACCTCTATTCTATAACTAGACGTATACATATGCCAGGCTTTGTTGCGCTAAGCGACGTCCATTCGCGTTCGCTATGAACCCCCATGCACTTCTTCTGCCCCTCACCACAGAGCCATCTGTATATACAATCACATCACTTGGGCAGGAATTGTCATGAATCATTTGTTGAACTTCTGATTCTGCAGTCCCAGCTGGCCAGTCCCTGCACTCACGCCCCAAAGTGATTATAACCCTACTCGAGTCTGAAACATGATCGGACACTTTGACCCACTCCTCTCCTCGCCTAAATTTATCAAGCCTGCACACATGTCCAATTGCGTCTTCAGCACGCGCCATCCAAGACTTTCCTCTTTTCAGTCTGTGACCCTTAGCTCTATCCGGGGCTTCATGAAGGAGGTGCCTGAAACATGATCGGACACTTTGACCCACTCCTCTCCTCGCCTAAATTTATCAAGCCTGCACACATGTCCAATTGCGTCTTCAGCACGCGCCATCTAAGACTTTCCTCTTTTCAGTCTGTGACCCTTAGCTCTATCCGGGGCTTCATGAAGGAGGTGCCTCTTGTCCGCATCTACTCTGAGATATGACTTTGCTTGCAGAACTTTGAGCCTATCTGCAATAGTAAACATTGCAAGTATATATCGTATACATACTACCGGGGTATCTCATGTACATCCCAGAATCACCCGCATGGCTTCATTCTGTATGCGTTTAAGTTTCATCAGCTGACTGACTCCTTGATATGGTAAGTATGCCAAGTCCATAATCTATCACCGACAAAATCACATGCTGGAACATTGTGAACAACATTCTTTGTTCCGTGTCTATTGCTGTGTTAATCTTGAAAGCACTGGGTCCTTTTTTGGCATTTCACTGCAACTTCATCCACGTGATCCCTGAAGGACAGGCTTCTAACAAAAATGATACCCAGTTATCTCAGTTTGCTTTCTCTTTTGATGTTACTGTTATGAACTGTGAGGTTTGGAACGCCAGGTTTTACAATTCTATTGTCCAGAGAACACCACAAAACTGCTGCCTTTTCTGAGTTGATAACAGCACCCATTTCTGCACACCAGTCAGTCACTTTGTCAAAAGTTGCCTGTAGCTCGTGAGCTATCCGTCGTCTATCTCTCCCCTGCCTATATTCTAGAACATCATCGGCAAATGTCAATATTCTCACAATACCTGGTGATCCAAGTTCTTCAATCTTACGTGTATACACATTAAAGAGCACTGGTGACATTGCAGAACTCTGGAGTAGTCCTGGGGCAATATTACATTGTTCTGAGGTCCATGTACCCAGGCGAAGAGCTACCATACGTGAATGCAGGACAGCTCTACCATGATGAGCTGGTGATTAGTACAAAATATCCATTCCCCACCTTATGTTACCAGTGTCACAACAACACAGAAACGAACATTAGCAAACTTCAGAAATGAGATGTATAAGTGATTAGAAGAGATAAACTGAGGAATACAGTCATGAAATATCGCCACAGAACTAGTACTAAATTACTTACAAGAACAGCAAATAAAACGGTGTGTCTGCTTATAAAGAATCCCATATCATGCAATACCTTGTTTTATTTTCAAGTTGCATTTTTAAAATTGAATTTAAACAGCGCAATTTGAATTAAGAATACACCTTGTTTATCTTACACCCAGGCATTTCAAGTAACTTTGAGATGTAACCGACTGGAATGGATGCATTAAGACAAAGCTGGCTACCCGAAAAGCAGGATCTGGGAGACTGTTCCTGGCCATAAACCTACGGTTTCTCAGCAGACAAAAGGACTTTTTTTTTCAGCTTCGTGCCCACTGGCTGTAAACTCCGGGAAAGTTGTGGTTGTTCATCAACCTCTGGACTTAATTCTTTTCCTTGAACCTGAGTGTTGCGTGCATTTCCGTTTTACAGATCTGACTTATTTGTATGCAGACTGTTGCTTCCTTGCTTCTCAGGCAGATGCACTCAGACTTTGAAGGCAACCCCCAAATAAAACGACTCTTACGACATGCTTGTTGGGGAGGCAGTGAATCTATTCTTGTTTTTCTCACAATAGGGCCCAGGAACCCATACTGGGAGGCTTAAATGGCACGAAAATGGCTGTTTACCGCTCTGCCTATGTGTCGTTCCTGACCTATGTGTGCGAGTCATGGGCAGTGACAACAGCTCACATAACCCAGCTTTAGGCCTCCTCCTCCTTCTTCTTATCAGAAATGAGATATCTGAGAAAGTTGGCCCAAGTTACAAGAAGGGACGAAGTTCACAATCAGACAAACCCGAGGGGATCAGTCACAGTTACAATGGTATAGACGTGTATGCAGAATGGGAGAGAATCGACCACCAAGCGAGGCCAAAAACCAGACCACTAGGACGACCCAGGATTCGCCGTAAAGACAATATCCGACAGTCCTTTAATGACAGAGAACTGGAACAAAGCCAACAATAAAACTGCTGACAGGGAAGTTTGGCGATCATATTAAATTTATGGCACTCGGTGCTGATTTTATTCAGAAAGTTCCGAGGACACTGTTCTACTTCTACTATCAATACTTGGTCATCTGCAAAAAAAAAAAAAAAAAAAACAATTCCTAAATAGATCATCTTCTTTGCTGACAGTCCTCTCCCCCCCCCCCCCCGCCCCCCCTTTTTTTCCCCCACTGTTAATGTACATTATGAAAAGTTGAAGAAATAGCTCATAATCTTGTATTTATTTCAAAAAGTTTTGATGTACTTTTTTACACGACCTTTCCTAGATGTCTCTTAATTGATATATCAATATGATGCTTTCCATATCTTTTTTAGACAACATTATTTGTTGACTGTTTTAAGCTTCGGACACACTGCAAGTACTGGCCTGGATCACACATCATAGCAGTGTGCCGAAGGTCACCTTCGGTCTTATGTAGCTTATCTTGCAATGTAAGTCTACTGGCTTAGATCCCAACCTCTGTCAGAAATAGGTCACTTCTGCAATACAGGTTTGACAGTGTCTTTTTGATCCGCAGTCACAAGAGGCAGATTCTTGTATGCCTATTTTGTGTAGTTGTGTTCTAAGACAGCGTTGCCCTGTCCAAACATTGTTTATTCTTTCGGGTTTAGTTTGTTTATGTTGTCAATCTCCAGTATAACTATTTAGTCTCTATTTAGTATTTAGCCTTTCCTACTTCTCAACGGAGGACTGCTTTGTTTTATAACTGTTCTGGTTCATATATGTTTTCGTAGATTTGTGGTGAATGAGATTGTGGAAGATTACTCCCAGCGCCTCTGCAGTCTCATTACCTGGGATACCAGTGTGAGCTGATATCTACGAGTACTGCAGGACCAGCCCCGCCTCTGTGATCCTTAGGTCTGCAATAAGCATCTTGATTTCTGCTTGACAGTGTCAGGAGAACATACAGTTCTGTGCTCTCTGTATTGGGTTATAAAGGGCTGACGTATAAAGACAGTGGCTGTGACCCTATAGATTGTACAGATGTTAACAGATTGGAGTTTTTACCTATTCTTCTGCTGGGGTGTTCTATATATAATCTGCAACCCCTAATTTTGACTGTCTCCTTGGTTGTCAGCAAAAACCTCCCCAACTTGTACTGGGATACTTCTGTGACAGCTGGTGCGTTATTGTGTACTAAACTTGGTCAAACAAACGTTAGTCTCCCCACAGAAAGTAGGCCCCGTTCCATTGATAACTTTCTTGGCCTGGTCCTGGTCTTACCTGCTGGACGTTATGGGTGTGCCGCTCTGTTGTTTGCTTTCAAGAAAGAAAATTCCTGTGACGTCGGTTTCATCACTCTCTAAATGGATTGTGTGTTAGACCCAGTTTGTCAATGTTTTTGTAGTGTTAAAGGCATGCTAAAATATAGAAGACACGATATCAGTGGCATTGGGGAACACACCTGTCACCTTGTGCCATAAAAAGGGTAGCTCAAGGTCGACCAATCAGAAATGAGCTATGCTGAAGGTCGACAAATCAGAAGTGAGCAAGTGTGTATTTATATTAGTGTTTCTATTACCCTAAACTCATTTTAGCACTTTGCCTAAGGTCAGTGAATTACATTAATATTTATGAGTATGCTAATTAGGGCTGTACCGAATAGTGATTTTCACTATTCGGCCGAATACGAATAGTGGAATCAACTATTAGCCGAACACGAATAGTGCATCATCATCATCAGGTGCCCTGCCGACTGGTGTGGGCGATCATGCCTATCCACAGTCTGCTATCTCCTGCAGCATGTATCAGTTCGTGTGCTGACACACCTCCATGCCATACAACAAGACTGTAAAGAATCTTGTATCGTTGTCTTCCTCTATCCCTCCTTCCACAGATCTTTCCAGTGGTCACCAAATGTTCCATTTTTCCTCTTCTCATAACATGGCTGAAAAATGATGACTGTCTCCTTCTGATGTCTGTGATTAGTTGTCTTCGGGCTCCCGCCCCTTTCAAAACCATCGTTCACCCGACCGTTCGTACGATGTAATTTAAACGCACCTTCATATTCTCATTACCAATATCTTCAAATTTGATTTGGGCGAAGACACCCTGAAAGAACTAAAAATGCATGATCTCTCTTTCCCCCACAACCCCTTTTCTCACACACACTGTGGTTGGCATTTTATGCAGTTTGTACCATGCAACCGAGTCGCCGTTTCCTCCGCTACGACAGACTTAGGCAACAGCAACTATTGTGTTAATGAATGAGTTATTTCAGTCCATCACAGTGTATGCAGGAACGAGAGTAAGGTAACCACTATTCGTATTCGACCCGACCGAAACTATTCGGCTGAAAACCGAATAGTTATTAGGTCCACTATTCGGCCCCGAAGCGAATATTCGGTACAGCCCTAATGCTAATAGAGGCTGGCGCAAAATACTAAGGTCACTTCAAGTTTGCGAGGTAGGTGTGGCTTGCAATTCAGGGGTCGCTGCTCACACAGTGAGTGTTGTGAGGGCCGAGAACCCTGCAGCAGTTTCATTTAGTATCTCTCAGTTAGCGAGATAGGACTGACATATGTGCCCGTTGTTCTTCGCACTGGCGTCGTTGGAACACTTAGACTGACCAGTGGAATTCGATGTAATAGAATTCGGAATGCTATTAGTGCAGGTGAGACGTGACAGCAAAATCCAAATGCTTTATTTGACCACTGTGTCATTTGGTTGCTAATATTTCAGTGTTTCTCATCGCAAGTGGCTGTTTATGTAATCTTTTGACACCAGTATCATCTTTGCTTCCATGTAGGTCAGCCTAGCTTATACTGAAATATGTGTCTTTTAGGCTAAATGAAACCTCGGGAGTGGGCTCGTGGCCGGAGGTGTCTATTAAGGCTACAGGCCACTCCTTGATTGGGCTCATAGCCGAATGTCTCTGTTTCATGGACACATGTCAGGTCAAGGCGCTGCCATCTGAGTCTGTATTCATGGCAGAAATTAGTAGAAAGACAAGTGTTCATTAATTGATCAACAAATTTTTGTGTGTAATGTGTTTATCCATGAATAAACAAGACCAACTGCACTATCACTAGGAAGTGTTCGTGGTTATATCACTTGTCACTGGCTTGGTGTGGTGTTCCTGGTGCTCTTCTTTAGGAACCCAGGATTTTCATCTAAAATAACTCTTTGATTAGAATAATATCATACCCTACATTGTCTTTGCCAGGTGTTAAATGCCTCCTCCAAAAAATAAGGCTAGTCCAGAAATGCTGGTCAGTCTTCAAGAAAATGCCATGTCAGAATATGACAATTCCTCATTCAAGAAGGCTTCTATAAATTAGTTAGTTAGTTGGGTTATCCTCATTGCACTCCGGACATGTCCATAGGTGCTCAGATCCTCCCCTCAGTATGAACCCCAACGTCCGATGGCTAATAGTACCAGTTCTATGTTGATTAACAAGTCTTCTGGCGTATCTGGTGTGCGTCTTGTTTTTTGCTGTGCCGATCTTAATTCCCAAGTCTGCCATTCTGGCCTGTGATGTGGATTCACTTTCACCAAAGTCCTCTATCCTTCCCATTTATCTGAGGGCATTGATAATAGCATGAGGCTTCTATAAATGCAGTGCCAAATGATATTGTCTAAGCCTCTTTGGAGATGGTCTTACTCCAGCAATATTGTTACAAAGAGGGATTAGCATCTCATTTGTTACATGTCATTGCAAATGAGTTTGCTAATACAATGTCTGCAATATTATCAAGCTGCTGGTAGATGATCTCAGTGGCTTTGCATATCACTATATCTTATTGTAATACTTTAAGATTACACCAATCTACTGAATGATGACGATAACAGTTTTCTATTCACCATCTATCCTTGCAATGCTCCTACGATGCTTGTAATTATTTACTTACTAAAGCATGATTAAATTAGCTGGTGGCCCCAGGGTTTCAGCAATCCTACACGTAAATACAGAGACCACACACCAGTCAACAAACAAGCATACTTCGAATTATGCACAATTCGGCCAACTGTAGATTACATTGCGTCAGCGATCAGCCATTTGAAACCAGAACTTTGCAGGCAAAAAAGAAATAGTCGTTACCTTACGGTTACCTTGATGAAACAGACAGTTCATGAAAATAGTCAAATATGTGTTTTAGTTTTTAGGATTCAGCTATTTGTTTCATTTTAATCAATTGTTACTGTAGTATGCACCTGGCAAGATATAAATAACTGGCAAAATATGCCAGGCAATAAATTGTGCAGTCTACTGTTTGTGTCTTCTTTGTTCAAATTCACTACGGGAAAACACTACTTTGATAAACAAACATACAAAAAAACTCTATCTATAAACAAAAATCCACTTTTTTTAAATCACATATTATAAACAGAAGTTGGCCAGATTGTTCTGCAAATATATGATGTCCAATGACCCACAAGTTTGAGAGTAAATAAAAATTACACAGTACCAATGGACAGAAGAGAGAAAACCAACAAAGCAGTAGCACTATGAAACCACATCAAAGTAATCCAAAACTGGTATGTTTATTCACAGAAAATAAGAGACACACAACGCCTGCACATGTGTATATGAAATCTTTGATAATTTTTTCCAATTATCCTAGCTTGTCGTAATAAAACAAAACAAAAATATTCATCATCTTTCTTTCTTTTTATGCTTGTGTTTCTTGTGTCTATGCTCATGCTGTGGGGAATCAGCCTCAGTTTCAAGTTTCCTCCTCTTGTGCATGTGCAATATATCAGGTGTAGATACCTCAGTCAAAGTATTATCAGAATGTTTCCGCTTCCTCTTCTTTTTCTTCTTGACACCCGATGTATGTCTGAAGGGAGTACCTGAAATGGTAATAATAAAGAGAATTAAAAGATGTAAATTACTGGGCAGTTTTGCACAACAGAAGAAAAACCATTTGTATTTTGCATGTTACAGAAAACGGTCACTAGCAATAGTTACAGCAGTTTGCATTTTAGATAGGAGGACACAATGCACTGTATATTATCATAAGATCTTAGAAATTAATGAAAAGGGTGGAAAAGTCAAGCTATAAAACATACAGTGGTATCCTGGTAAATGTTCACTTTCGTATTCATTCAACTTGGTATAAGTCCTGTTTAGAAGCAAATAAGTTTTTCTCAGTATACAACCTTTCTCAGGAATACCAACCACATGCTAGAACTTGTATGAGACAAATTGAGTCACAACAGCTTGTGTGTTTTTTTTTTAGTATTCCCCACTCTCAAGGTAAAGCCATGGATAGAGGTATGACTTTGTATAAAAGTATCACAACAAATTCAAACAAGCCATAATGTAATGGTACTGTCTGGAATGACCAAAAATTTCACATTTCCTAATATCCCGAAGAGAAAGAATGGGCAAAGTTCTTTAGACAGATTTTAGCAAAAGACAAACTGAAAAACCTCGACCAGGTCCAAGCAGAGAGAAAAAACATCAGAATTTCAGATTCCTGAAGTTTTATTGGAACAGGACTCTCTTTCCAAATAATAAAAAAAATAATATCTCATTCTCCACCCACCTCAGTACCATTCTAGTATGCACTTGATTCTTCTCAGGAAGGTAAAGTGGGGTTAAAGGTTCATTTATTTTATTTTATTGCTTTTGCATTTATATATTTTACCTTTAGGCATTATGTAAATTATTTAATAAAATCCCACCAATGTATGATATGCCAATTAAAAAAAAGGATATTTTTTTCATGGGAACAGATTAATCATTCTCCCTTTATTTCTTATGGGGAAATGTGTTTCATATACAAACTGGATTACGTCCAAGTATCATGAACAGGTTTACTACATAACCAAGGTACCACATCTTTTGCTATATCTTGTCGGATGCACTGATAGAGAAGATAGCAGTCGCAATTACGATGGTCAGTCTTTAGTCATGTGTTAATGTCAGACTTCAGTAGCAAGGTGTAACAAGAGTTAATAAGATCCGTGTATCTGAGTTTAAAAAAAAGATTAATTCTGGTGCTCATTATATGTTGATGTGAATTCTGACCAGATACCATGAAATGTGAAGTGTAGACCAACTTGATATCCCACGCTGAGCCAAAAGTGGAGAAGCGCATTGGGGGAGGTTACTAGCCTTATCCTAGGAAGAGAAAATGCAACCTAAAAACTTTTTATAATGACAGGGCAGACCAGGCCCTTTGACGTGGCCAGCAGAGTGAAGCTCTGACAAGCAGACAGAGCACTGCTCTTCTGACCTGGCAGCTTCTGTAGCATGCTTTGTTCCAAATGTACTGGTGTAAGCTATCCTATAAAGTAAATAAGGCAGACTGAGCGGGATCAATTTGCATGAGCAACACATAGTCTCTACAATACTGCCCAGGCTTTATGCTATGGAGAGGAGAAACTTCATCACTGGCATGGAAAACAAACTGAGAGGCAGCAGTACACATGCCACTGTCTGCCCCATGCCCCTCACAGCACAATATAACACTATCATCTGGAAAGGTGAAAACACACTAATACCAAGAAATGAACCAGGCAATACATTCTACAATATAATGTCATATTTTCATTATTTAAATTCACAAAGTATCCACGGTTGCACAGTTCAATATGTGGGAGAGAAGAAACCAGCAGCGAAATGAATAAAGTACAATTTGCGGTCAATAATGTCTAATCAATAATGACCTGGGTTTTTTGCAGAAAAATTAAAACTGGACAATTTTACTCAATGCAAGCCATCTCAAGCTCAAACAACAGATTTATCTGAAACAAGACCTATATCAGCATTCTGTCCATGAAACCAGAACTAATTCTACTGAGGGTTTCAATCCAGCGTGATACTGTTGAGAAAGCAAGAACACACCAGCTTTTAATTGATGTGAAAGCCATAAAAAAAAAGCTGCCACTGCTGCATGTATTATATCCCTTCTGTGGTGAAGGGAGGGTGAGGGGGGGGGGGGGGGGAAGGGGTCTTTGATCCTGAGGATTTAGGGCCACTTTGCTAGTGCTGTCGCCATTGACTGTGAGGGTTAGGATTTTATTTTAGCCAGACAGAAAAATCCACAACCGTACCCAGGATTCGAACCCGGGTCTCCCACTTGAGAGCCAAGTGTTCTAACCAGTCTACCAGCTGCTCCGTGACCCTAAAGCAAACTATAACAATGAAGACAGAACACAGTTACGATTACAGATCAGAGTAGGATGCCATCTAATCAGAAATAAACAAACCAAGCCTTTCAAGCGCACAGCAGGAAAATGTGGAGTAGAATACCTTTTAACTGAACTGGTTTCAGAAACTGCCACATTTTGTCACAGAAGAACAGAAATCTCAGGAGTGCTGTCCTGCTCACAGCAGTATAAATATTGAGGAGGAAAGCTAAAACAGGTGGACAGATGGAGCATTGCTCAGTTGATCCAACAGCTTCTGCAGCATGCTTTATTCAAATGTACTAGTGCTACCTTTTCCTCTGGAATAAACAAGGCTGGTTGAAAAGGGGATCGTGATGCATGGGCAATACATAGTCGTTCCAGAAATTCGCCCTATACATGGCAGCATAAATCTATAGCAGATCCCAATCACCAATGAAGAGTTGTTAGGTGCGAATAACAGTAAAATAAAAATAAAAAATAAAAACAGCACAGGTGGCAATTAAGGCAAACTGGTGAAAATGACAAAGACATGTATAAGACAGTAGAGGCTAGAGCAGCAAAACATACTTTGAACAGGCAATTGTAGTTCAGTTACAGACAAGTCTAGTGCTTGATGTAATGTAACTTGTATTTTCAGTTAAATGATCCAAATTTATTACAATAATATAAAACCACCAAAGCCTCACCAGCACCAAATGGTGTAAATCTGACTCTCAATCCATCAGGCATAGGTACACTTGTACTGGCTTCTCCTTTCTGACTGGAAGGTGGGCTCACCACATTACTTCTGTAGGACTTATTTACAGCCACAAATTCTGAAATCGGGGATCCTGTCACATGGAGATAAAAGTGAAGATATTAAAAAGCTGGTTGTAAAGGCTTGAAAAAAAGATTATTAATTGTAGAGTTATTATTCTACACCTTAGAACAGGACACAATCGACTTTGCAGCCACATGTATACAAAATTTAAAATCGGCAAATCAGCCATGTGCACATGTGGACTGGCACCTGAGACAACATATCATGTCCTCCAAGACTGTCCAAAATACAACATATCAAGGCAAAACTTTTGGCAAAGAGAAACTTTTGCAAACAAACTTTACAGGTAGCTGAATGAATTACAAAAGATAGTGAAGTCCATACTAGAGACAACATTGCAGATATATATATATATAATCTATTTCAAGCGAATGAAAGAAGAAGAAGAATAGTAGAGAGCAACTGAAGTTACAATCTGGGTTCATCTGCATTAAGATCTGACATCACAGCATTCAGGACAAGCCCATATTAGCTCTGTCTCCCTCCTCAACAGCCAGCAGTCTTCATACTGATCATGATACCAATCGCCTGGTTAACTACTAATCTTGCCTTCTTCCCTCACAGACATTCCCCACTGTAATATTATCTCCAGGTGTCGGGTTTCAATATTTTCCATCCAACTTGTTACCTGACCCCACAGGCAAACGATCATCACCTCTGTCTTGTGCAGTTGAAGTACACCCCCAAGTGGGACTAGTCCTGCCAAACTATTTGCATATTCATTCCCAAACATGTCTGAATGGCTTAGGCAAAATACCCATGTGGCCCTCACCACCTGCAACCTCTGAATTGATGCAACCCAATCTATTTGAAAAAAAAACCTGTCTCCACACTTCTGAGCATGCTTTGCAATTCCCATAGTATGACCACATGTGTGACTGAGATTTTCTCAACTCGTCGAAATAGGACAGCTACCACCTCAACTTCTATTTCCATGCTGGATGTAGTAATGTTGCATGCCAAGTTCTCCTCAGTCATCCTGCTCTCCCATGCTTTTACAAGGAAGCCCTATCTTCTCTTTCTATTCCTGGTCACTAACCAATCAGTGTATATAATCACATCTCCTGGCCTAGAGTTATCCTCTATCAGCAGCTAAATCTGAGCATCTGCATGTCCTGCCACCCTTTCCAATGTAATAACCACTTTTTTGCAGCTCTTCTAGGCCCTCTATTGTCTTTACCCCAATTCTCCTTGACAAGTCTCTTTAACACTGCAGACATTGCTGACTGTCATTTCAACCTGAGCCATCCAGGATCTGCACTCTTCACAGTATGCAGTTCCCCCATGAAAGATATGTTTTGAACCACTTGCAACTCAAATACAGTACCCAGCTTTCAGTATACTATATTTATTAGCATAGGCAGGATATGTCTCATACACACAACTACTGTGTCCCTTGTGCATCCCAGAATGGTTCACATAGCCTCATTCTGAATGCGTTTCTCTAACTGAGATTTTCAGTTTAAAATAAGTTGTAATAAAGCCTATGATTATATCACTGTAAAATATCTTTATGCCCTTCTTCTTCTTCTTCACTTCCTCTTTTACCGCTGTGGGTGTCGAGGGAGATATAAGGTTCTGTTTCTAGCTCTTCTGGCTGCCTCGACCATAGGCACATCGTGCTGTTGTAGAGTTTCTCTGATGTTATCCTTCCATCTTGTTCTTGGTCTACCCCGTGCTCTACGTCCTTCTTCTCTTTCCATGTATGCTTTGTATGGTATGGTGTCACAAGGCATTCTCTCTAAGTGGGCAAACCATTTCACTTGCTGTCTTTGTATGTAATCCAGAATTGGTTCTGTGACGACTTGTTCTCTTATGATCTCATTCATGATCTTATCTCTTATGGTCACTCCTACAGCCCTTCTCAGACATCTCATTTCCATGGTTACTAATTTTCTTTTATGGTTTGTTGTGATGACCATGTCTGGCACTGGTAGCACAGAGTTGGAATAAATAGGGCTTTATGCCCTTAACTGCAATAAAGTCTTAACATGTATAACATGTACCAAAGCTAAATGTGTTAATGTATATAAAGAACGGTGTCTAGTCTCAGAATATAATGACATTATTACAGAAATAAAGCAAATAAGTGAATCCTTTATAACTAAAGTACAATTTCAACAATGATCAAAACATAAATGCCTGTTTTTACCAGGGCAGCCGTAAAGACAAAACCATCACTTTCTCCTATACAGAAATCCGGGCCCATGTGACGAATTTGCTTCATTTATGTAATTGTTACTGTAGTATGCACCTGACGAGATACAGCAAAATATGCCAGGCAATAAACTGTGCAATCTATTGTTTGTGTCTTCTTTGTTCAAACTTTCTCATTATGTTTATTTGGTAGTTATATCAACTTCATTTGCAATGTTATCTCTTGTTTGAACTTCATACTCTATTATTCCAATCAGTGGAATATAATGTGTTGCTTTCTCTGGTTGTTTCTTTAGGTCAGAAGACACGCCTTGATGTGCTGTATTGCAGCAGTCTGGGATTCTGATTTGCTGTCTGGTGCAAACCCATTTATTATCTGCATTCTCTATACATGTCATAAATATTAATTGATTTGCTGTCTTGTGCCAACCCATTTATTATGTGCATTCTCTACACATGTCATAAATATTAATTAACAATTGTCATACACTGTGACTACCTTCCTTCCTCCCTATCTCTCTACAAATATACTCACTAGCATATGTAACATTACAACAGTCAAACAGGGAATCTGTGTGGCTTCTGATCAGACTCTGAGTATAATAAAAATAAATACACACCAGAAAAGCAAATATGAGGTGCAACGCTACTTGTCATCAACATACCTAATGCAACTGTCTGACCAGATTTAATCAGTGCTGATAAATCTAGACCCTGTCAATGAAAAATAATAATTAATTAATTAATAATTGTTTCTACACTAAAAGTGCAATATTCTAAAAAAACAATTTAACTCCTCCTACTCCTTCATGCGTTTACAAGCTGCAAACTTCATTAGAAAATTCTGGTTGTTTATCCCCTTCTTGAATTAAGTCTTGCTCCAAAACATGAGTTGTTGCCAACACAGCCATCGAACACATTCAGCTTTTTTGCGTGTGTGCAGACTGTTGGTTCCTCGCCTCACAGAGGGATACACTGAGTGAACCCTTAATTAGCTAAATCCTATGACATGCATGCTAGGGAGGCAGTGGGTCTATTATTCCTCCTGCTTCCCTACAATGTGGTCACGGAACTGACACAGGGAGGTCAGATTAAATCCTCCGCTAATTATAATTTTTCTTACATCTACAAATACATTTTAAAAACTAATTTCAAGTAACAATTACAAATTATCTAGAACATACAAAATAGAATCACTGGGTCAGAAAAGACAATTTTTCATGGGCTTGGGCATAATGGGTATAAACAGTGCTAGACAAACATTTTATAGATCAATTGCACTCGGTGGGTGATGTGGTCATCATCATCATGCAGATGCCCTTACTTTTCAGCACTTTACCAAGTACCCATTTTTTTGGGGGGTCAACCTTGGAGTTAATGTCATTTGAAAAAAAAAAAAGCTTTAATGTGGATTTGAACCAATGACCTTCAGTTCAGCATCTAGCCATAACACCACTGTCACAAAGTTCATATTCTATTACAACTGAGTTATAATTTTTTTTTTTAAATCACTTTATTCTTGTCATGATTTTTCCTCACTAAATACTGACGCAGGAATGACACAAAATGCATACCTTTCCACAGAAAGCACCTAACTCATACACACAAGTCAGCTGATTTGCTCCTTCTTCCACCTACAGACAACAAAAACAAGATTTAAATGCAAAGATCAATAAAGATACTGACTAATAATATGATTAACAGGTATAGCACATCACTAGTTACTTTTTTATAATAATCAATGTGCTGTACCTAGTTAGAGCCTAGTTATTCAAAGTTTGACATTTTCAATTTCTTCATTATTTACTGTTATTTATGGGTGACAGCCAGTTTTTTTTTTTTTTTAAATTCAAGATTATGTTTTAATCTTCTTTGTGCATTCTCCCTAGAAATGGATATTCTGTCTGTCCCGCTGCAGCGATTACTTGATAACAGACAGCCTTCAGCATGTCTGCTTTATAAACTGGCTCACAGCCTAAAGGAGTGGCAACTGCCATTATATCAAGTGTCTTAAAGAGTGTGATTAAAATACAAAAAGTAACAATGTGTTAATGTATGTTTGAAACCACACAGATAACTGCATCACGAAGAAGGTGTTGAACATATTTTAAACCATCAAAGATGGTACACCAAGTTAGCAGTGAAACACAACCATACATGCTCAGTTTTTATGATCTTTTATTTAAAACCAGGTCTGAGATCATCACCACAAATGAAACCCTACAAAAAATCTGCCTAAAACAATATTTAATGGAAGCATAACTGAAATGGGATGAATAATGATTATCCCCCCCCCCCCCAATATAATTCTATATATGAAAGAGTGTAACTTGTGGTCATTATCTGTTTCACATTTTAATATGACCCAAAATGCTATATTTCTCAAATAAACTGAATAAATCTAGTAAACTGTTGGCCCATATTCAACATAAACCAGTTGTGCAGAAGGGAATCACTGAGGACAGAAAATCTTTTACACAGGTTAAATATTTCACCAATAGTGCAGTGATTTTTGTCACAACCGTAAGGGAAAGTTAAGGCTGGTGTGATGAGTATAAGCAGATACTCTGTACCTCACATCGGCTGGTTTTATAGTTTTATAGATGTTCATGCAAGACTCATGCCACATCCCCACACTGTGTGCTATGGATAATGGTTCAACTTTGTGACCTGAACTGAGCTGGCAGGGGATCTCAGAGTTGGTGGCTTCCAGAGATGTAGTGACCAGTCTGGCTCTCATCAGGCCACCCTCCTAAGCCTGGGTAAAAACATCAATCTAAACTGATTTGGAATATCAGTGAAGCCCACCTACCAAATATACCACTAAATGACAACTCTCTGTTAAAACATCTGTACAGAATAACTGCTGAACTCAGTCCTAGACCAAGAGATTTGCTTGCAGCTCAGACGAGCAACACCACCTGTGGGCGGTTTCTCATGGTGCGGTCCTATCTTCGCACAAACTTTGTAAATCCTCAACATCGTCCTCACAGCGTTGAGGTATATACCATGACAATTTGCCGATTAGGCCTAAATGTTCGCCAAATACATGTCCCACAGCATAACAGAAAAGTCTTAAATGACGAACCGTCAGAAGTCCTACTGGCTGGCAGAAAAATTCAAATGTCCATTACCATTGGCCCCACTCCTGAGAGTGCGGGACCAAAGAGGGGAAGCCATGTCGGATGCACGTTTCTTCCATATTGTAGCGCGAAGTGTTCAGATAAAACAACGTTAAAGGTGTCTAATGTGCCAAAGAAGAATTTGACTATCTGTGCTATCATAAAATTCTCAGACCTGCAGGCTGCTCCCTGCTGATCTCCGGAGGGCACAGTCTGTGATGAGTAGGAAGCTCTAAATACAGATGTAAGGCTATACAGTCATGTGCAGGATGTGACAATTCCTTGGGTGAGCCCAGGGCCAGAGCAGCACGTTTCAGCTCTGCATTTATAGGGGATTACCAGTCTACATGTGCTTGATCTGGGTGGATTCTCCAAAGGTAACATTTGTAGATAAGAGGAAAAAGAGAATATTACACGAATAAGACTACCTCATGTCCCTCGAAACGATCTGGGAATTTAACCCAGTCAACAAATGCTCAATAAAGTCGGATGTGTCAGTCGAAAGGCACAAATATCGCAACTCTGCTGTAAACATGCACAAAACAATTACTTCACTCAAAAAGAAGAAGCAGAAGAAATATTTTATCAAATATTTGAAAAATAATTGTCAAAGAACTAATCACCAACCTAAATTTCTCAATGTAATTGGTACTCACCCCTATTTCTTTAATTTCATTGTTAGAAAACTCAACTCCATCCAGCCTTGTTATATCAAACTATAACGAGAGAAGAAAACATGAAGCATGAACTAGCAAAGAATATAACATATGTACTATGTTGCAGAAAGTAACAAGTGTGGAAGTAAACTCTGCGAGAAGGCGTCTTTCAAAGGTTTCAGTTTTTTCTGCTCATAATGTGGTTAAAAAAATTATAACAGCCTCTCTCTGGATGTGTTTTTAACAAATGATTGATCATGACAAAGCGTTATGTTGTTCAGCCATCATAAGTGATGAGGACCACTCTCTCTTTCATCTGTCATGAAACTATAGTTGGTTGTATGTGAGTGAAGAGGAGACGTACAAGTCCAATATGGGTCCGGAAGGATCTAGGACAATGAGGGCAAGGAACAGTGTCTGTAGAAGGGCCTGGCATATAGGTTTTTCCAGTCTGTCTTTGCTTTTCAGCAGTCTTGTTTTTTTTTTTTTTAAGATGCTTCACCATCTGTGCCTCTCTAGATAGACATTCACCATATACTCCAGTTTTATGCAGCAGCCTTCCAAGTGTCAAGGTTCAAACTGAAGGCTTTAAGTGATGCCTTAGCATGTCATAGAAGCCTTTTTTTCTGGGCACCAGGAGAGACCACAAAATGAGCACATCTCCCACAAGTGGAAATGCTGCAGGCAATGTTAACAACAGATGTAAGAATGGTATTTAGGTACAGAACAGGTAACTATGATCACAAATAGAATGGATCTGATTTTTACCTGACCACTGTGCAACAAAGTTCATACTTTTCAATTTATATGTTGGGGAGGGGTGTATAGTTCTGAATGCAGTGACTAAGTTTTAATTAAAATTTTTTTTTTAAATACAGATATATTAACTAAGTTTTACTTTACTCGCTAACAGCTGAAAATATGAACCTCCCCCCCCCCCCCCCAAAAAAAATATCATTTTAATAGGAAGTGTGAATATATTATAAAATATGTATAACTGATTATAACAAAAAAAAACTAACCCCCTTTGGGACTCTCAGCAGAAACACATCTGTGTTTTCAGAATCACCCACATCAAGGAACAGCTGCTTATCTTCCTTGAAATCTGGCGGAACTTGGAAACTGTGGACAAATCAATACTTTTAACTCAACACTGAGAAAATTATAAAATGTAGCTAGTGGCCTGTTACCAAGTAATAGAATTCAATAAAATCATAGATTTTAAGTGGGGGAAAAAAAATTCTAGAAAAAGTTTAGATCCTTTGCTAGTGAAACATTGACACAACATGCAATTATAAAAACTGACATAATGATGTGTGAAGCTCGCACACAGAATTATGCAATAATTGTCCATTCTTGTCCAGTAGAGCTCTGAAAATACCAGGAATAATCTCCAAAAAAGAACTGAGTCAAAACAAAGAACTTATACACTTTATATACTCAGAAAAAGTATCCCTCCAACATATGGACGCATATGTTTACCGATGCTTTTGGTAAAGAAACCACAGAAAGAGGTGGGCGAATCTACATTACACATACTAATTGCAACACTGGGACACACTTAATAATATCGGCATGGGAAGCTTGTGCCAACTTATGAGCAAAAACAGCAATCCTCCTTCGAATTGAGCAGTCTCACAATTCTCCAATTTAACTCAAAGAAAAAGCTGACACATTCACACATGTAAAAATCAGTCTCCAAGTCCTCTCAAAGAAAAAATCTGAAAGCTGCTCACAATAACAGAATTAACCCGGCAGAGAATTTTATCTTGCTATGAATGCCTACAAATGAAAATGCAGAGCTTGTGAAGTCTACAAAAAGCTCTCACGCAGCCCCATCTACCTCAGAGCTTTAGAACGCCAAAGACACGCTTAAAACTATCTATGAAGCTGAACTGGAGAGAAGACTACAAAACTTACAGACCAGGGTATGTTGCAAGGCGAGGAAAGAAAGAGATACAAAACAAAATGACCATTATATCATTCTGTTTGATTGCAGATGGCATTTTTCAATGCAAGGAACAGACTCAAAAACTTGGTTACAACTGGACATTTTGACAGAAACATGACAGAGAGAGACAGAAAGCAAAGAGATAAATACTTTGATGGTTTGGCCACGTGCATGGAGCGTTATAGCAGCACCAACCGATCCAAGAATTTGCTGATTGTGTAGGGTGGCGAATGATGACCGGATATGATTTTCGATGATTTTCGGCATGACAAATTATGATTTCCAGGAACAGGGGGCGCAGCGTGTGTTTTTTTCTCTCCACCAAATAGGAAGCGGTGGGCCAAACAAGCCTGGGAAACACAACATGAAATGATCTAGTGAGAAAATATTGGGGGAAGGAGGGGAATGTGTGCATTCATGTGTCCCACTCACACATATTCAGAGATACTACACATGCACAGTTCTAAAGTAAAACTATCATGTGTATCACTGTGTCCACATACCTCATTTGTCTTCTGTTAGTAGTACACTCAGTCACCTGGAGAGAACCATGTAACACCTTAGTCAATAAATAATAAATGTGTGCATCAAGCTTAATGTATCATAAAACCTAATGCATGGCATTACATTACAACAAGGTAAACAAATCATCACAACTATTTCATTTCTTTCACTAACATAGAGGATGCAACATTTGATCTTCACAAGATGGCTACAGGGTGCTCACACTATGCTACTGTTCCCTTGTACATTTAATGTTTTGTCTGGACATAGTAAAACACCCAACAACAGAATAATCTCCTACCAAAGTTGTCTATTTAGCTCCTGTGGATGTAGTTAAAGAACAATTTTATTGCTGTCCTAACTGCCTCATTTGGGCATCAGACAACCTTCTGGGTCTGAAAGAGTTAACATATGTCAGTGATGTGATCAACATCATAATGGTTGCTTTTACTTACCAGGATATTTTCCTGGGAGCCATGTTAGGCTGGGTTGAACTGGGACAAGTAGAAAAACATTTACTCACTGCAAAGATGTTGTTTTTGTGAAGAATGCAGGGAATATCATAAAGTGATTAACCAAAAAAAAAAAAAATTGTGTTAATAAGGGAAAACTCCGCTAAGACCGGTCCCAAGCCCGGCTGTAAAAGGAGGAGGGTCTGGCTGAACCTGAGTGCTTCATGCGTCTCCGGAAGTAGTGGGTAACCGTGAATCAGCCAGACAGCCTGCATGGAGGCCGCAAGGAGGCAGCCCCTCCACCATGCAAAGGCACAACAGGCCAATCACCTGTTTGCCTTAAACCACGATTACAAGTAACTACAGAGAGAAAACCGGACGGATCTTAACGGCGACGAACTGGCATGGCTTACGGACTACGATTTATGGAACATGGAATATAAGAGGCATTAACGGAAAGGAAAACGAGTTAGTAGGGGAGATGAGGAAAGCAAAATTAGGAGTCTTGGCTCTGACTGAAACCAAGAAAAAGGGGCAAGGAATCACAGATCACGATGGAAGTATGCTGCTCTACAGTGGTGTCCCTATGACGGAGAGAGCCAAGGGAGGTGTTGGCTCTTTAGTGGCCAGGAATCAAGTTAGTAACATCAAGGGATGGAAATTCATCTCAGGGCGAATTATGTTGTTAGATCTGAAAGAAGAAGATAAAATTGTCAATATTCTCATTGTGTACAGGCCAAATGAAGATGAGCGAGTAGATGTTAAAGAATTCTTTGAACTGCTCCAAAGGACCATAGATGACTGTCACGATGAATATCGTCCTAGGAGATCTAAATGCCAGAGTAGGAAATGGTCACTCTAGATGGGGTGAAGTGATCGGGAGATATGGTGAAGATGTTTTGAATGATAATGGCAAGCGACTTCTCAGATTCTGCATGGAACAGAACCTTGTCATTACAATCACAAATTCCCCCACAAGTGTATACATGCATACACAAGATGTGAACCTTCAAAGAACGAAAAAATCCATCATTGACTCCGTTATAGTTAGGAAAAGTTCATTCAAGTTTGTGAGAGATGCCAGAGTCATGAGAGGACCAGAGATTAGAAGTGACCACTATCTGGTCACAATAAAGAGAACAATCGAAAGAACCGCCCCAACAAGGCAACACCGACAACCATGCAAGAAACCAAGCAACCAAAAAGGGATGAGGTTTAAGGCATACAAGCTAAGAGAGCCAGATATTAAGGCTAGATACCAAGAGCTTATAGTGAAAGCAATAGGACTGAAGAAGAATCATCAGAGGACACTGAAACTCTCTGGTGCAGATTCAAGAATATCCTCACAGCAGCTGCAGTAGAAGCATGTGGTGAAGTCCCAAGTGGAAGGCGGGGACACAGGACACCTTGGTGGACAGAAGAAGTCAAATTGAAAATAGGAGAAAAGAAAAGGGCATGGAAGCAATACCTGGCAGCCAGGAACACAGCTGAAGAAATAGAAAAATATAAACAATATGTGGCACTCAGAACAGAGACCAAAAATATTGTGCTTAAAGCAAAACAGAAATCATGGGAAGAGTTTGGAGAAAAGTTGGAAAAGAATGCAAGAGAAAACCAAAAACTGTTCTACAAGACCCTTAAGAACATGAGGAAGGAGAAAGAGTGCCCACTTAAATTCATAAAAGACAAGGAAGGGGCTCTGCTTACTTCTACAAATGATATCATGGGCAGATGGAAAGAATACTTCTCAGAGCTCCTCGGCGCTGAGGGAAGTCATGACCCAGAAATAATGGACCTCACTGCTGAGAAGGAATTCAATCATGGGGAAGATAACATCAGGATGGAAGAATTGAAGGCAGCTATTGAGAAGATTAAGCTGGGAAAAGCAGCAGGTCATGATGGTATAACACCAGAGATGGTCAAATATATGGGAGTCGAAGGTGAGCGCCTTCTACTGAAGGTTCTCCAGGCAGCCTGGTGTAGCAAAACTATACCAAAAGATTGGGAGATTGCCATCATTATACCTATATTTAAAAAAGGTGATAACAGACAATGTGAAAACCACAGAGGCATATCCCTCCTCAGCATTCCCGGTAAAAGTTACTCTAGAATTCTTGAGCAGAGACTTAGAAGTCTGGTAGAGCCACAGCTGGACGAGGCCCAGTGCGGCTTCAGAGCAAACCGAAGTACTCAAGACCTTATCTTCACACTGAGACAGATGAGTGAAAAAGCCCTGGAATATAAGAGTGAGATTCACTTATGTTTTTTGGATCTGGAAAAGGCATTTGACAAGGTACCCTGGAACAAGCTCTGGGACTGCTTGGCAGGGAAAAACATCCCAGCACCCCTGATCAGTGCAATACAGAGTTTCTACAAAAAGTGCAGAAATTATGTAAGAACAGCAGACCAAAAGTCAGAAGAATTTAAGACCACCAGCGGTGTTAGACAAGGTGATATTCTCTCACCTTACCTCTTCATTCTTATGATGGATGATGTCATCAAGACCTGTAAGGAGAAGACAAAGAAGTACTCTGTAGGGTACTGGAAGATGAGACCAATCTGTATATCAGAGCTGGCTTTTGCAGACGATGTGGCCCTGATAGCTAAATCAGAGGCACACCTTCAGTCCAACTTACTTGTCTGGAAGGAAGAGCTTGAAAAGAAAGGGATGACCATCAGTGTCTCCAAAACTAAAACCATGGTGATCTCAAGAGAGGAGAAGAAACACCAGATCATGATGGGTCAGTATGCGTTGGAGCAGGTTAACCAGTTCAAATACCTTGGAGTTGTATTAGACCAAAATGGAGGCATTAAGACTGAGCTGGCTACACGAAAAGCAGCTGCTGGGAGACTCTTCCAGGCCATAAACCGAGGGTTTCTTAGCAAAAGAGAAATTGGCAAGAGAACGAAAATGGCTGTTTACCGCTCTACCTATGTACCAGTCCTGACCTATGGGTGTGAGTCATGGGCAATGACAACAGCTCACAGAAGCCAGCTGCAGGCCTCGGAAATGAGATACCTGAGAAAGGTGGTCCAAGTGACAAGAAGGGACAAAGTCCGCAATCAGACAATACGTCAAGATCTTGATACCCAGCCCTTACTAACCCGAGTGGATCAGTCACAGTTACGATGGTTTGGACATGTGTGCAGAATGGGAGAAAATCGGCCACCATGGCAAGCATGGGAGGCTAAGAACCAGGGAACCAGACCTCCGGGACGACCCAGGGTGCGCTGGGAAGACAACATCCGACAGTCCCTGACTGACAGAGGACTGGAATGGAACAAAGCCAGAAAGAAAACTGCTGATAGAGACGTCTGGCGATCTCTCTGGCAAACCTCTACACCCCAAGGTAGAAGAGGAGCGACTAAGTAAAGTAAAGTTAATAAGGGAATCCTCCTTGAGGCAGATGAAAGTTGTAAACTTGTTAGAAAAAATGGACATTATGTTTTTCAGACATGTCATAAGAAGGATTAGACTTGAGAGTAACTGGCAAGATTGATGGAAAGAGAGCAAGGGGAAGGCAAAGAGATAAATCCGGGATGGTTTGGCCATACAGATGGGGCAAGACAAGAATGCTGCTTATCCCCGTGTAGGTATCAGGGCCCTATTATGGGGAAAACAAGAATAGACCTACTGCCTACCCAAAAGCATGTCGTAAGAGTCGACTAATTGGGAGCTTTCTTCGAAGTCGGAGTGCATCTGTCTGAGAGGCAAGGAACCAACAGTCTGCACACGCAACATTAAGGTTCTGGAACAGGACTGCAGTCCAGAAGTGGACGAACAACCAGAACTTTCCACCAGAGTTTACAGCTGGTGAATGCAAAGAAAGATACCTAATTTATATGAGTGTTTATTGAGTCTGCAGTGTGTAGTGTATATATAAGCAAAAAACTGTGACTTGGTCTATTCTGTTCAGGTGGTTGATGAAATGTTTTCCACGGTTATAACCTGTGTTTGTTTTTCGCTCCCATTCATTATTCCCAAATATGTACTTTTCTTGTGCTTTTTTAGATGGCTTTCCAGTTTATGTCTAACTCCACTTCAACAGATTAGATAAACAGGAGGTCGTTTCTTGTCTTCAGAATTCAGTTCACTGATCATGAAGATGTAACTCCTATCCAGTTGCCCCAGTGAAGCTGTTTAAACATCTTTCAACTAAAGACAATTTTTGAATTATCTTTCTCTGTGTGAGTTTCATGGCACTGTTTATTAAACAAAGAAACAAACAAAAAACACCCACTGCCCCTCTATCAAGCATGTAGTTAAAGTGGACTGATTTGGGGTGTTTCCTTCTGAGTTGGAATGCATCTGGAGAGGTGAGGAACCAACAATTTGTATACAAATAAGCCAGATCTGTAAAATGGGTGTGCAAGCGAGGCTCAAGTTCAGTAACACAGCCAAAGTCAAGAAATGGACGAACAGCTGGGACATTCCGCTAGAGTTTACAATTTACAGCCTGTGAAATGCAAACATTTCACACAAACATTGTCTTTACCATCATATATTGATTCTGTACGCTCAGATATTTTTTTTACGGAGAAAAAAGAAATT